TAATTACTCTCAAAATACAGTATACTCGGAATAACTAGTAAATGATAATTTTATATTGTTGGTATTGTATCTGTCATGGCAGGAACATCTGGACACTTCTGTGGTTGTTATGCTATAAATTGACAATGAGTATGAAGGCTAGAAACTATCACTGCCGAAGACTGCGATAGTCATAACAAACCCAGTCAAAAAAGTAGTTGTATTGTTCAAAACTAATGTAGTAATACATGTAGTAGAGTAGTGGATCTACTGTACAATTCTGGATGCATCTCCAATTTAGTTCCCTTCTTATTAGAAACTGTAGGGGTACAGTATGTAACTATATGTATTGTTACATAAAGTTTACTGTTAGATATGGTACTATATCAATGAAGTACCAAAATTTAAACAAGTGAAAAGGAAAAGATTAAAATTTTAGCTAAGGATATTGCTTATAAATAAATGTATTTTTTAAGAATACTATTTAATTTTGAAGTTCTTTTTTTTAAAACAATTTACAACAATTTTACTGTACATTCTCCACTTCATAATATTTACTCTTTTGATTTTAATTCATTTAGTTCCCATCTCACTAATCTACAGGTAGCTAGCACTTTTATAATTGGTTTTTATGGTAATTATGTATGTAGCACAGGTACTCAAAAATGGCATTATATGCTAAATACTTGTGGTAGATCCCCTGCTGCTTGTCTGGATACCAAATGTTTTCAAAACACAGTCACAGCATGTTAGGTATTTCGCTAGTCTACATTTGATTGTGTTTGCTTTTGGATTAATTTTGGGTTACTAAAGGGAGTGGGGGACATCCATTATTTTCATAATATTCACTAAGAGTATAAAACCTTATGCTAATGTTTGTTGTCGGCTTTTCCTCATTTGTGAAAGTGAGAAATAATGTATTAAAAATGATCTAAAAATTCAATGTATGACATGCTCTTTGTGTGTGTGGTGGGTTATGATGAGTGAATTTTACAATCTAGGGTATGTTGTGTACTGCTGATAACAGGACATGTACTTGACATAGGCCTACATTAACTTCATTTAAACATAAATGGTTCATTTCAGAATTTTTAAAAATTCAAGTACCAGTATATAGCATTATTAATAATAGCTTGTGTGTGATTAAATATTATGTGTAAGATTATCTTGATTGTTGTGGTTGAATGAATCACCACTTTGAATAAATGCTGTTACTTTTGAAAGATAAAGACCTTGCTTTTTTCCAATATGCAGTTTTACACTTGTTTTTTTTTTTCTGCATAGACTAAGATAATTACGTAATATAGTTTTGTGAAATTATACCATCATGTTGAAGTCAGTATTATTTTATGTGTCTTAACTGCCAGCCATTGTTGCTCACAAAAAAACCTATAAATATGCAGTGATACAATTTTACAAAATAATAAAAATTACAGTAAAAGTTTATAATTCAAGTTATATAACTCTGCTATAATATGTTTATAAATCAGAAAAAAATTTATGACACTTCATACTATATTGTTTTATTAGAATTATGATTTATACAGGCATTTACATAATCACTAAATGGATTACCAGCCAATTTGAGGGTCTACTGGTATGCACAAGAATAGGAATATGTTAACATTCAAATTATTGAATTTAATTTTAAATTAATTTAGCTAATCATAGCAGTTTTTTTTTATGTTCTCTTATGTAGCTTTACAATGTAAAGTTAAGAAAAGAAGAAATTTGGGATTTTTGTTGTTTCCAAATAGTATTTTGTAATTAGAATATTTAAGACCATCAAATTTTATTTTCAAGACAAAATCCTTGGGCATGCCTAAATATGTTCATGATGACATCACATCATGACCATATATAGGCATATCATGTCTATATATGGGCATACAACAGTTTTGTTGTTAAAGGCAATTTGATATTGTGGACAGAGCATTATACAATTTCTATCTAAAATTTTGTTTTAATTTATCATGTTATTAAAAAATTGCTCAAGGACAGAAATGATGTATCCTTCTACTAACTGTTTGTTTATCCCTGGAAAGTGTCTCTGATTTTTTTTGTCATTTTGTAATTTATTTAATTTTTAAAACCATAACCATAACTTTGAAAGATAATATTAATAATGAAACAAAAATCACTGATCCAGATCAAAGTTATACATCTGTCACACGGGAATATCTTTTGAATTAAATTTGAAAACAATTGTATAATTACCATAGTTTGTCCTGGAAATTAATCTAACCAGTCATAATCTAGTATTTTAGATCAGTTGATTAATTGTACTAATTCAATTCAAGGCCAATCATTCAATTGGAAATTTAATAGTCTCATTCCAATTAATTTAAAGATTGTTTATTCACTGCAGATGGGCTAAGATTAAGTGCACTGTAGGTTGACTTTACTGTAGGACTTAAATTTGGAAAAAGCATATTTTCATGAAATATAATGATGGAAATCTTGAGAATAAATTTTGTCTAATTTGTAGCAATTTTTATCCACGTTAAAAAGGAATGTGGCTTCAAAAATAAAACTGGTACCATTAATTGAGTAGATGGTCCATGTTAGTACTATAAAAACTACTACAACAGTACAATATGCAATTTTAGTTTTTTGCAATATGGTGCACTTTCCAATTTGAGACTTGTCTAATTCAAGACCACTTTTTCAAAGAACCAAATAAAAATCAATCTTTTAACACAAAGTTAATCCTCTAGTTGGAGACCGAACCCCAAGAACATACCCCAAAATTTAAGGTTTCTGAGGTGCCCTTGAATTAGAAGGTGAAAAATTCAGTCGTGGTTTTTGTTACCTAAACAATGGAGCCTACACTGCTGATGTTCTTTGGCTTTGACAATTCCATTAAGAATGCGATTCGATGAGTGCACAATGACATTGTGTTTGCCGGATTGGATTGGATTTATTTGGTGTAAACATCAAGAAGACTTATTTCCCGTGGGGTCCTTCTGGTGGTGATTGGGCAATACACCGGGAGACAATCCCCTACTCTTTTCCAACTGCGTTCTTTAATGTGCACACGGGACCAACGGCTTAAACCTCTCATCCGAAAGGCAGTGCGCTATTATAACTTGTATTTCAGCCCTCCAGCTGAAACACAAGGAGAGGCAGCGATGGGAATTGAACTGGGGACCTAGAGATCTCCACGGTTCTCCATGGTTCAGCGCACACACAGTGGTGCAGTGTATGCCCAGCTTTAGGTTTACTATCTACAGTTTTAGCAGATCTACAGGTCTGTGACAAAACCACCAATAAAGTATTTCAGTATACTACATCTTTGAATTTGTCTTTTTTTCTCTCTTATATTCGGATTCATCCCCCTGTCTCATACTGTGTGATTAGCTCACCTTTTTCATCAAATAACTTTAAAAAACTGTCTATTTTTAGAGATTTTTTAATCTCATCATTAATGCAATTATATTACTCTACCCATAATCTAATTAACTTTTACTTAGACAGTTACCAACTCATCACACTTTGTAGTGTGGCTTATTGAATCACAATCTCTTTTTAAAAATAGCACAGAATAGTCAATTGTTGTAGGAGGTTAAAGATAAGTGGATGGGATCATAGAGAGTTTACATTTTCCCTTGGGAGTCGAACTACATAATTGAATAATGTGAATTGCTTCCATTATCAAATTTCTCCATACAGTAGGCCTACTGTACTAAATTTTCTTATAAATTAAATTATTTAGTGTCAGTGGAAGAACAAAATGTATCAAAATATAATATTTTATTAATTTTGCATTTAAATTTATACAATGTCCAGTTTTTTTTACAATCCCTTTTAAGTTTGGTGTAGATGTATAATGGCCCTTTCACACATGCACGATTTTTGCTACGATAGAGTATGATTTTTAAAAGCTGTAAAATCTCGCTCTATCGTAGTGATTTGTGCTCAAAAAGTTCAATCAAATTTTACGCTTTTTCAAGATGCTATGTATTAGGACGCCGTCAAGATGTATTACGGCAGTAATTGACAAGACCAAGATTTAGTTTTTAGAACTACAATAGAGCACATTTTTTTTTTACATTCCAAAAAATAGTGCTCCATCACGATGGCTTCCAATATAAGTACGATGAATTAAGATTAACCTAGACATTTAGTACTACACCAATGCGGTCTTCAAAAATGGAAGAGGCATGCTCTGTAGACATGCCAACCACTCTGATTTCGGCAGAGTTACTTCGTTTATTTAAATCAAAACTCTCCAATCTGATTTTGAGTCGAAAATTTCAGCTTTTTATGCATTTTGGACAGCTGAAATGAATTGCTCTTTTCCAAATAAAAGTGATAATCCTATGATTTAGATATAAACAAGACCACTTAATTTCATCCTGAAAACAGCCCTCTGAACTTTATATGAAGTAGTAATTCGCGCTTTATGGTGTACTGATTTTTTTTTTAAACCAATTTCATTGACCAAATCGCTGTCAGAGTTGCACTCTGAACTGTATACAAAATATTAATTCGTGCTCAAAGATCTGCTCATTTCAAAAAAACAAATTTCATTGGCCAAATTGATGTCAGAGTTGCACTGCACTCTGAACTGTATAGTGCTCTATGGTCTACTGATTTCGTAACAACAACAGTCTTGTAAAGCACGATTTCGAAAATGGAGTTCGTTGAGATAGATATAGATGTAGGGCTAGGCAGTGCTCGAAAAATGAGTAGTAGCGGTGGTGGTGATCTCAGTGTCTATTTTTCAGGGATTTTTATTTTATTTGACTGAACAGACTCTACTAATTCGATTGATGTCTTCCAAATGATCTCTACAGTCAACACAGAGCATTTACAGTTACTGTAGCATAAAATTAAACTTTATCAGAAACCCTGAAAGATTTTGGTCAAAACAAGACTTAACCATATTTTCTTGTATTTCCAGTTGACCTGGTGTTAATTAAATACAACTCTATTTTTGTTACAAAACCTCACCAATTAATATTATGTACAGTTTTCAATGTGAAAGTGATTTTATATATATTACATCCTTCTTTCAGATGTGCTGTGGTTTTATTTAATCCCAGGAAAAATCGGCAATCTTTCATAATTAATCACTCCAAGTAAGTACTAAGTTTTAGTCATAAATTGCCACAAATCTGATGATTGTTGAAAAATCAACCATGAATTTAGTTATATGGGAATTTTTTTAAAATAATTTTTGTTTAATATTTCCAATGCAAGCCCATATCCGGGGTCCGGGGGTGCAGTGGGTGCATGCAGTACTTGATCCCCCCCTCCCCAAAGGTCCACATTTTTTTAGGTCGAGATTGTACTGAATGTGTTATTTTCTTTAAGATTAAAAGGGAATCTTCTTTACATTTTAACCAAATACACATTATTAGGCCAGTATTTGGCCATTCGTTTCTGCGATCCAACTTGCTCTGTCCTCCTGACCCCAGTTAGTCTATCTTTGTACCCCACTCTGCACTCCCACTCTTCTTTCCCCCTCCCCACCATGGGAATCCTAGTATGACCCTGCAATGATAAATGAAATATGTTAATAATATTCATTTATAAGAAAAGTACAAAACAAAATCAAGTTTCGATATTATGCAGTTTATACTTAGACCTGCTTTCTTCTGTGTAGTTATTATAAATAATATTTGACATATCCCAATAATCAATTATTTATTTCTATTGATGTAAACTGCATATTGTAGAGGTGTTTGCTACAGCATGCAATATAAAATTGAAAAATTAATAATAATTGACCTATTCGACTAGGCTACTATTGCAGTATGAGTCTTTATGTTAATTATTACTTTATGTCTGACATTTGCATTTTTACTTGAACAGAAAAACCATTACAACATTGGCCTTCTCAGCAGATGGCAAGAACCTGGTCACAGGGGAGGTAAGCAACCATGACAACTAATAACCGCACTTAATCTCAACCACTTACGATTTGGGAAAGCCCACAGTTGCACTTCCTGACAACTTGGAGTACATCCTGGGTACTCACATCGGTGGGCCATATGATGCACTTTTAGGGGTTTACCAAGCGTTGTTCGTAATGCGGAGACAAGTCAGGGTTTGTGGGGATTGAGAAGGTGGTGAGAGGAATGAGGATACAGTGAAGGTATCAGGAGAAGCACAGGATTGTGAATTCAAAATCTGGCGAATTTGTTTTTAGGTTACAAATTTACATACACAAATAGGGAAAAATTTTACATTGACTTTATTGAATGATCAATAAAAAATGTTGAATTAAGTGATTTAGAAGAATGCACCCACTAAAACTACAAAATCCCAGTATATTAGGAAAGGTTGGAGCTAAGAATAGGTCTCGGGACCACATTTAAGTAGACCCAAAGGTGACCTAAATTTTGTCCAACTTTAAATTCGGATCAGTTCCTACAATGTGAGGACTTGGACGACTTATCTTCATATCTGAATATAAACCAAACCTAAGTCACCAAGGTTGCCTTGAGAGCAGTCAATTTTTACATCTTAGACATAAAATTTCACGCAAAAACCCGCACAACGAAGGGAGTGTGAACGTTCACAGTACAACTCTTAGCTGACTTAAAATACTACCCGCGAACGGAACAGTCGTTTTGAGTCTGCCGTAGTTAAAATGGCCCTGGGTGGCTATAATAGTAAAGTGTGATTAGGCTCTAGGAGGGCTCTGAAATTCGTTTTAAGTATAGTACATTAAATCATATTATGCAGTGTAATAACAGTAGTGTTTGTAGTGTAATGTAATACATCTCCATGATACTACAAAATGCCCAGGTTAGCACTGTATCTGCCATAGGACATTAACCTGCGAAGTACCAAATTCCAAGATTATGTGTTTAATCCAACTTAATGCCAATTACCGAAAGTAATTCTACACCTGAGGCACTGTAAACATGCTTTGTGAAGAAACATTAGTGTGGCAATGGTAAATTTTTAATCAATAATTATTTAATCTAGGCTTGGAATATCTGAAGTTTAGGTTCAGAATTGTTTATGCTGATTTTGCATTTTTGTATCAAAATTTCAAACTCAACAGGAGTTGAGAATTTCCATTCAAACATACTGTATCTTGTAACACAAAAATGTCTCAAGACATTTTATAATGCCTAAAGTCTTACTAGGGCCTATAAGTGTCAGAATGCTCTATTTTTATGCCGATCAATATTTTCTTCACCAAGTTTTTTTTAGGTGTAATGACTGAGTTAAAATATTGTGTTTGCACATTGAAACAGTTATTTCAAGTTTTTCTTTAATAAGATCATCAAATACCAATTTCAGTTTTAACCTACAGAATTGATCTTACTTTCATGGATCGTGAACCACCATAGCTTATAAATAGGTCACAACAGATATTTAATTATAAATATAACTTGCAGCATGTATTTCATTTCATTTCATTTATTTCTCTCAAAACATATAAACCATAGCTTATAAATAGGTCACAACAGATATTTAATTATAAATATAACTTCTGTTGGGAAAGTTAAACATAAATGTTATTTGATATCATATGTTTTAATGCTTACGTCTAAGGTTTTTATGTTAACAGGGGGTAAATAAAATAAATTTGAATTCATCTCCTTTCCAAAGAATATAAGAAATTACTTTAGTAGAAGATATGTAATTAACACTAAGCTAGGATTAGGCATAGCTGAATTAGTAACAAACAGTTAGTGTGACATCCTGAAAAATAACGGTGATTAACCTTTGGAAGGGAGGTGGCAGTAATATTTTTGTTTAAAATGTCAATTGAGCTGTCTAATACCTGAATATATAACATTCAAAGAACTAAAATTAGAAAACAAGAAAAATAAAATAAAAGCTGGTACTTTACCCTAGGCTGTAATTTATAGCTTTATCTCGCCACCACAAAGGTAGAGACAGGAGTCTTGAAAGGTTTACCTGACTGATACAAAGGTAGAGACTTGAGTCTTTGTTTTCAAATCTTTCACCATCTGTCTCCTGAAACCTAACTGCCTACAGACTTCCAAACTTCACAATACATCAATCGTCAGATTCTGATTCTAGTCTCTTTCTAACATTCCTTTGCCTACAGATATTGTTAAGGATTTACCATCCACTGTATAACAACAATTATTACTTTAAAATAGTTAATATTTAACTTATATTGTGTACCGGTACTAATCTATATTTATTTGTAATCTCAACAGCTTTCTAATCTTTTCCACTATAATTCAGGCAATTTTAATTAAGCAAAATTGTTTTAACTTTTTGCCTATCATTACTGTACATCAGAAGTTTTTTCTTTTTGATTAACAGAATTATAATTTATAATTCTTAAAAATTGACGTTGATGTGCAACTGCAGTGTGCACTTGTGACAAAACTTTCTATATCTTATTTGCCAATTAAAATTCTGTCTTGTAATAATATTCTTCAACCTTATGTTTCTGTTTTTTATACAAATGTTATTTTATTGTCATTAGTCTTTTTAAAAGGATTTGGCATACCAGTAAATTTTTTTTTCTTTGTAGACAAGTACTGTAAATGCTTGAAGAAGCGCCACACCAAACTTGTTTATTTTTGCTAAGCGCCGCTCTCGAATGAGCGCTGCGACGCTTAATCAAGGGTATATATTACCCTGTGTGTAATGAAACACTTTTGAGAAACAGTGTTTTAAATACAATGTATACAGTGTTAAAATAAATAAATAAATAACACAATGAATTACTGTACAAGCATTCCTTTATAAACGTTTATTTACGATGATTAGGACCTACAGTATGATAGGTCTACTGATACGGAAAGGATACGTGAGATAAGTAACATGGGAAAGGGCATAGAAAGCGCCACGCAAATACTTTCTTTATAAGCACCGCTTTCGAATGAACTCCGCTCTCGAATAAGCGAGCACTGCAGCCTCAACAAATTTTATAAGGGCCGCGGCGCTTATTTGAGCATGTACGGTATTGTGAGCTTGCAGCATGTATTTCACTTCATTTCATTTATTTCTCTCAAAACATATAAACAAAAGGCAAGAACAAATAGATGCAATCAGAAAAAACCAAGAGAGAGGAAATCCAAAAAACGAACTAATCAACTATCAAGTGGTTTCCCTCTTACATATAAAAATATAACAAATATCATCAGTGAAAATAAAAAATATATCATTTTTTTAGTATCAAAATACAGTCTTTTCAGATTTGTACATTGTATATTTAAACTATTTCAACCTTTTTTTCATCAGAGTGGACATAGACCGGCTGTCAGAATTTGGGACGTGCAGGACAAATCACAAGTTGTTGAATTTCTTGGGCACAAATTTGGCATTACCTGCGTTGTAAGTAACACGTCACATTCATAGTGCTTTAAAAGTCAAATGGAAATTCTTTTTCCTCTGGCAAAATAAAATATTCAAAAATTATAATAAAGTATAAAGTATTAAAAAATCACACTTAAAACATATCTTCAGTTTTAAGAGTCACTTCAATTCCAACATAGCAAGAGAAAGTTATTGTCAAATAAAACTGAGAAATCTGGGTTTTTTAACCAATTTGTAAAAAACAAAAGATACATCACCAAAAACATAGTTTTCAACCAAATAAATTTGTTTGAATTGTAAAAGTTTTCAGCTAAGTATAATGTCTGGGAATACAGTATAATGAAATCATTAGTGAAGCTAAATCTAAAAGCTTAGTAGAAATAGATATTACAAGGGCCCTTATCACAATATTGTATATTCTGGAATTTTTATTATTTTGTTTTTTTAACACACCTTGTAATTTACTTTTGTGCTGTTAATAATACAATTTTAAAAGGTTTAGGTAATTTCCTTTGTAATTTTCATAATTAGCTGACTAAATTTACTAACTTTTGTTCCTGGAACAAGCAAATTAGTCAACAGAAATAATATAAGTTATTAATTAATTACAAAGACAAATTTCCTAATTTGGATTGCCTAAACCTGATGAATTTCTGATTGTTCATAATATATTATAAAGGATTAATTGTTTTATGACTCATTTGGCTCTGTCATTGTGTGTTGTAAATAACAACCAGCAAATAATAGGAATTTAATACATGGTTGTGTTCAACAGTCTATAGATTATATTGAAATCGATATCTATTAGGTATATTTATTCTATCTTGACACCGTGTAATTTCATTTATTTATATTCCATTTATACACATTCTTTAGGTGTAAAAGTGGTTTCTTCAAAAAAAGGAAGGAAAAGATGAGGCTCTTCCCTTTGGCCTGTAGCTGAACATAGATTATGCTGTTATTCTGGAAGCACCAAATTTGGTCTACATGAGGCCCTATAAAAAAATATTAGTTTGTCACCCTATCTAGTAGTAGTTCACATAAATAGTAGCCTGCCGGAATCAAATTAAGACAAACACAATTGTTATGGTTCAGCACACATATAGTCATTTCCACAAATTATAAACAACTTTCCAAAGCTGATGACCTCTTTAAGATTCCTAATGGGAGGTAACACTGATTAATCTACTAACTAATTAACAATTAAATCTTACACCTGTCTAAGCACACCCAATCATAATAAAAAGCTGAGAGAAATCATTGGTACGTACTTTCATCACCGCGTATTAGTCTCAAAGACAATGTAGTTTTATTTTTGATTGGGTTGTTGCATACAAGCTGTTGCAACACCCCTTTACACATATCACACTCAACATTATGCCTCAGGAAATCTGATGAAAAGATTCAATATGGCATGATTAATTTTTCCATTTCTTTTTTCTGCTATTTATGATCATGGTTATTTTAGTGCAGATGATACACTGATTTTAGTATAATTATATTTAATTTCAATTCAGTATTATTATTGAGTGTGAATAGGTGTCAAGGTCTAAGGCCAAATTAATATATTAATAACAAAAACAATAAGTAATCAGACAAATGGAAATTTGATATTTGTAAATATTTTTGTATTTAATTATGAAGTTCATGTATATAATTACTTGTTTAAAAATTCAGAAATACTTAATTTGGTAATTTTTATTTATATTGTGAGTATTTGCCGAAATTCTTGCTATTTTTCACTATAATTAATACTTGTTATTATTATTAAATGCATATCTTTAACAAAAATAAACAAAGCTGAGAAAGTATTCATTTCTTAATAGGCTTTTTCACCGAATGGCAAGTACGTTGTATCGGTCGGTGAGCAACATGACAAGACTGTAAACGTGTGGGACTGGAAAGGAGTCGGGGTTGTGGCATCTGGCAAAATCTCATCCAAGGTGGGTACAGGTTTGGTTAAGAGTGGGTTTGCGAAACAGTGTATAAAAAAAATCTCATCTGAAGTCATCATCTATCAATGGCCCGGTAATTTTCATAGTAAAATTTCTAAATTAGGAAAATTTGAATTGTTTTAATACATTTTTTGGAAGTTGATGATAAACAACAAATAACAACATTAACAAACAATATAATTCAATTCAATTAACTCCCGCAACGGATGGACGTCATGGTGTCTCTGCATGTCCGTGGTGAATTTTGTATACTTGCTTTTACTTCAGGCATTGTTTACATATATAAAAATATGTTCCTGTCGACCTAGATGTTCCTGTAGACCTAGATTTTGTCCTTTCTCTGCCAAGGTTTTTCCATATGAAGGACTCCAGTTTTAATAGTAGCCAAGGGTATACCTATTGTGTCGATTCAGCTACAGATAAAGTGTTTGCACGTGGAAATCAATAAAATAAAATGAAATAGAATAAATTCACTTTATTTGATAATCACTTCCAATAAAAAGGTATGGTCAAAATACAGGCACAATACAAACAATGAAAATAAAAAGAGAAAAAGAGAAAACCAATGTAAAAAGTTTATAACAAGAAAACCCAAGCCACAGACGATGGACACAACAAAGTAGTTTGATCGCCGTCTTCAGGCCAAAGCCTCAAGTAGAGACGTAACAAATTCAATAACAAACAGGTTTAATAATATTCATCAAAACCCATAATGAACAGAAATTTTCTTTCTATAAACAACAGTAGTACAGTAACAACTAGAACTATTAAAATTGTATACCTCCACCCTGTGTCTGGATACTGAACAATACACATGCTGTGTATGGGTGATTCCATTATTTTCTTTTATGCTCAAGGGTAAGTTTAAGGGAGAAAAATAGAATTTCTGTGACCTTCGTAGATTATTTTAAACACCATTCCACTAAATTTTATGATCCATTTCAGTTTTTTGGCAGACATTGATTTACTACAGAACATTGTGTTAATTGGTTTATATTTTCTGTACTATTGTTGTATTTGTGTTAATTTTTAAAATTTGTTTTATGGTAAGGATGGACTGTTCACTTTTTAAACGTGTGCCACCGATCTGGAGGTGTATGTCCAAATAAATAAATAAACAGACAGGAGTGAATACATAACCTCCTTGGCGGAAGTAAATAACCATAATAATTATAATTATGATAATAAATCACCATAGTCATAAATGGCACTTCCTATATAGTACCCAATCAGCAATATTATTGCATATCATTATCATCATTAACATTCCATCATAAATCTACTATAGAATGCAATATATGTCCCAGTGTATTTTAATTTAATCAATGCTAAGAGGAACTATTGAAAGATTCAGAACGTCATATTCATATTATCAGTGGCTAAGTAAAGACAGTCTGTTTATTTTGGAGATTATTTAATGACACGTTACACAGCTATTATTTTGAATGTAGGTGAGATTCTTACCAGCTGGGAAAGTATTGGTTACACCATAATTAGCCATCAACTGCAAGGGCAGTAGAGACATGAAATATGATATTATAAAGTATCAAATAAAATAAATTTATTAACAACTTCCTGAATTTAAACATATACCATGACATATTTTTAGAACATTTCATAAATTGGTGTATAATCTTAAATTATAGTATGGTAGTAACCATAATCACAGTTTTTGCTGTTCGTAAAATATAACTTGTAGATTTTAAAAAGCTATGACAAAACATGATTCTAGAAAATTAATTTGTTACTAAGTGAATTTATATTTACTATTAATAATTTTACAGTGATAGTCAAAAATAATAATAATTGAATCAAAGACAAGGACTTGAAACGGATTCACATTATGTATACGTCTATCATCAAAAGAACATGGGGGCATGCAAATATCGTAGCCAGGTCATTGTGTATTTTAAGATATTAGAATAATAGTAAAGCAGAGATATAATTATAGAATAATAATTTAACATTATTATTCTATAATTATAATCATATATAATTATAGAATGTTAAATTGGTTAACGTCATTATCAGTACCTATTAAGTTAAGACAGTGTGTTTACTCTAGAGATTATTTAATGACATGTTAATACAGATTTATTGTTAATGATAGTTTCTTGTGTAAGCTCATCCAAGAACTACTGTAGGCTTTGGCCAATTTACATTCATTGCCCCACTAGGCTAAACAGCTCTAACGTTTCATACCTACTATATTGCAGGCTTCAGAAATACATTGCAATTATTTAATTCACGTCTTTGTTTTTAATTCATCTGTCATTGTTTAGTTAATTGTAAAAGCCATATCCTGGTCAGGTATTAACCCTTGATACTGGCTTATGTATGTATTTATCCAATGATGCCATCTTCATTTATTCTGAAGGATAGTTATCATCATTAAACACCAATATAATTAAGACAGTAGTTATTAAGCAATATTTCATATTTTATTATTGGTGGTTTTTTTATGCTGGGCCCAGCTATCATATAAATCTTGTATCTGACTATAAATCTAAGATAAAATAAATAAATTCCATATCCAAATATTAAACAATTGAATTTAAGTGGAGCATACAGCTTATAGCTGAATGAAGGGCAAAGTGTTTTAAAGGTCATATTGAATGTTATTGTATGCAAATAGCATTTGAATTCAAAATGTCTTTCAAAGTGGTTTTGTTTCATATTGATATTGAGCATGATTAATAGTTAGTAAACCAAACAATGAATATTAATTGTTTGATTATTGCTATATTATCATAAATTACTGTGTTTATTCAAATAAAGGCCTCCACTTTGAATAAATTCCCCCATCAAAAACCCTTCTTGAAAATTTTAATGACGGTATTACATTTTGAGTAATGTGCTATATTCTGTATTTCTGTACCTAATTTTCAAGTTGTTCCAGAGTATAACCTTTTATTTACGCATATTTTCAACATAAACCTCTGTTTAATATTTCTTTTGTTTGTTCAGGCCTAGAATGGGAAACTGTCATATCATGATATACAGATGTCTATTGTCTAGTTAAATATAATATATAATAATGAAGCATACATTTAGTCATAACATTATTTGAACATTCCTATCAACATATGTGGCAAAGACAAGCCATACCAGTCACTCGTCGCAAATGATTTTGAGTTATTAATACAGGGTTAAAGAGTAAAATAAGAGCTATAAAATGGTTTAAAAAAATCATTCAAATCCGACATTTTCTTATGAAGTTTCAAGCATTTAAACATACAGCTGTTTAAAGAACAACATATGAGAAATCAGCCTTCAAAGTTTATGATTTCAGGCATTTCTCATGCAGAAACTATCATCAAATCCTTAAAAAGTGTTGCTTTAACGTTGAAAATGGGCGAAAATTACAGCACAGCATGATATATAGATATATAAGTGAAATAAAATAGATAATAAAAATTTGACATTTCAGCATGTTTTGGCCATTTTCTGAAACACGATTTGCCACATATATGTATGTGTATGATGGTTTGTTTTAATAGGAGCTTAAGTTATTTTGATCAATAAATCATATTTTTTTCAGGTAAAATCTTTAGCATTTGCAGAAAATGGAAGTTATTTTGTAACTGTGGGAAATCGTAATGTGAAATTTTGGTATCTTTCCTCTAAACGGAAGGTGAGTTACCAATATTGGTTTCTTGTTTTCATAATATCATTTGCATTCAGTGTTACAGAAGCTTGATGCTGGGGGGGAAGGGGGAATGGTCAAATATATGACGCAGTTTGGCCTGAATATACGTTGTGCGCATTATGCAGGACAATCACAGATGAGTGAATCTATTTTGGTTACATCGTCAATCAAATCGAAAGCTCCCTAATCTTCAGCAAAATTGAAACATTTAATCCATGAAATTAGGCCCTGACCTTTTCGAATTTTGACACATTCTTAAAAATGATTCTTGGCTACCAATATCTGAAATGCTTCTCAGTGTGTACTGTAGAAATCAAGACCTACAGTAGCTACTATAATTGTCGGTTTCTAATTTTTACTAGACACGAGAGGCTCTTCCTTTGTTAGGCCGGGCAGGCATCCTAGGCGAGCAGAGGAACAACTTTTTCGGTGATGTGGCATGTGGCCTTGGTGTCAATAGTAAGAAAACGTACTGTATCACCAATTCTGGTTTCTTGTGCGAGTTTAATGAAAGACGTTTGCTGGACAAATGGGTAGAATTGAGGGTAAGTAGTAGTGTATAGAAAAATATAATACCTTGTTGTTTACTTATTATTATTTATTTCTCTAATATTATTTATATGTTGGCTTGGTCACTTATATCTTAGAATCTTTATTAAAATTTATTCCCATTCTAAAAAGTAGAACTAGAAAAACAAATTCTTGACAACTAATAGGGTGTTTAATTTTTATATCACTCATATACAGTAATCTTAATACTCTGCAAGTTAAAAGTTAAGGATTTTTGTGCCTGTAAATCATTTAATATTTTTTATCTATTAAAAGGATTTTCACTAATTTTTTTGTGTGTCAGTTTTTTTATATACATACAAAAATTATACAAAACTTAAGTTAGAAGGCCTCGGTCATATGTTACGGAAATACCAACAAATCAAAAACAATGGATTTGAAATAGTAGAAAAGGAAATATAAAATTTACTAGCAACCAACCAGAGGGCAACAGCTTGAACTAATTATGACAAATATTGGCACAAGTAGAAGCAAATTTTATTTGAGGTATTTGTTGTCCTTAACATCCTTCAGTTCCAAACTAAAATCTATTTAAATTTTATTTGACAAGACCATTGACATGCCTAAATATGACCATATATAGGCACATCATTACTGTGGCAGTACAAAAGATCTGCTATTTACTCTCTTGTACAGTACTAGTGGTAAACAGGCGGGTACAAATAACCAAAGTTGTTATAAGAAGCGAAATGAGCCTGTAATGTATACTTCGATTTATATTTCCACTTCTGTTCACAACAATCTTTCAGATCATGTTTTTTTTTTTTGTTTATTGAATAATGAATGTTGTTTTGTTTTTTTAAATAGTAAATATTTTTATGCAGCTTCAAAATTTGATGAGCCTGGGGACATGAAGCAATTAGCAATTGATTTTTATTGGGCTTACAGTCGGTAACAATGGTTTGCAAAACAATCTACCTATGGATTCAATCTATATTATGTCAATTTAATTTCTGACAGTTTGATAGACCACTCCCATGTTTAGTATATGTAACCTCTCTTAGAACCCATCATGATATTGATTGAATTTAATCATTTTTCTTGGTCCATGTTTTGGAAATGAGTAATCTTGTAACTGAATTACTCATTATACACATTTGGTCTCTTTGTTTTCCATATGTTGACCTAACAGAGCTACTCTTTCCTGCCTCTCTTTTCCTTGATATTTTTTTTTTTTTTTTATGATAGGTAGTAGTCATTCCTAATTTTGTTTTCATGAAAATTTGAACATCCCAAATTTAGCATTATCACCTGTACTAATTAATTAATTATTTGATTGGTTCATTTTTCTACTCTAGGTGTCTAGTGCAAATAGTATATTTGCGACAGAGGAACATGTATTCGTAGGCTGTGCTGATGGCGTCATTCGTTGTTTTGACGCGTCAACGCTTCATTTTGTTGCAACTTTACCTCGCCCACATTGTCTTGGTGTCAACGTCTCTGATGGAATAGATCCAAGGTAAATAAAGAATAAAAATATGCATATTTTATAATATTATTTTAAGCCTACAAAACTTCTGTTTCGCATAGGAAAAAAATAATACTAAATTAAAGTCTGACAGACAATCTTATCTACTTTCTAATCCTTATTTATCTTTATTATCTCCTGCTGCAAGTTAATTTGACATTTCTACAAAAGTACTTCAATTATATTATTAATCTCCAATTAAAAATGTATTAATAAAATGATATCCGTTTCTGTAATTACAACTTGGGCAAATAGTTGTTATGGAACATTAACTATGAAACATTTATAGGGATTGGCTAAAATTCTACATTTGGTGGTATATCCTTTATTCTGTATCATGTTTGTATTATTGCAAAACCTACCTAAGACTAAATGCCATACAAAAAAGGATCTCATAACATTTGAAAGGAAGATGAAAGTGACAGTGAAATTAACCATTACTCATTGCATTTACTGGTATTTTAGAAGTGTCATGAAAATAATATAAAGGTTGACAGGGCGTAGTTAAAAGTTTTTTTATTATAGTATTCAGTATCAGATAATTTATTCAAAACAGATTAATAAAAAGTGATTTATATCCCAACAATTAATAAAACATGTATTATTTTCCCTTTGTTTTTGCTTTTAGTGTTAATAATTGATAATAATCAGTATAGTTTCCTACTGCATACTCTTGTAATTATTGATGTTTTGCAGATAGATATAAAATGAAATTGAATTTTTCAAGGCTAGTTATTCTTGGATTGTGTTCAAGTGTTAAAAAGCCTCTTTCAGCACCTGCTCTTAAGCACTCACAAGTACTGTGGCTCTCAAAGAGATTGTATAGGGTGAAAAGTGACTGCGCACTAGTTGATAATTAATCGCAGGATGTAGAACTTGTGTTAAACAAGCATCGCTGGACGAATTATTTAAATATGGGCCAACCAAAAAAGATATGAAAGGGTGTGATAGTTAGCCAAATCTGAAAACATTTTATATAATAAAAGACATATTTCCCATTAATGAGTATGATATATGACATCATCATGTTTGTTTATGGGTGTGATACATGACCTCATCATGTTCATATATGAGTGTACTATAATTCATGACATCATGTCCATATATGGGTGTGATACATGACATCATGTCACTATGTGTGTGATACATGACATCATGTCCATATATTAAAGGTGTGGTACATGGTATATTTAAATATGGGCCAATTAAAAAAGATATGAAAGGGTGTGATAGTTAGCCAAATCTGAAAACATTTTATATAACAAAAAACATATTTCCCATTAATGGGTGAGATACATGACAATTTCATGTTTGTGTATGGGTGTAATACATGACATCATCATGTGCATATATGGCTGTAACTATAATTCATGACATCATCATGTGCATATATGGGTGTAACTATAATTCATGACATCATCATGTGCATATATGGCTGTAACTATAATTCATGACATCATCATGTGCATATATGGCTGTAACTATAATTCATGACATCATCATGTGCATATATGGCTGTAACTATAATTCATGACATCATGATGTGCATATATGGCTGTGATACATGACATGATCTTGTACATATGTATATGGATCGGATACATGACATCTTCATGTTCATTTATGGGTATGATGCATGTCATCATCATGTCCATATATGGGTGTGATGCATGACATGATCTTGTACATATGTATATGGATCGGATACATGACATCTTCATGTTCATTTATGGGTATGATGCATGTCATCATCATGTCCATATATGGGTGTGATGCATGACATGATCTTGTACGTATGTATATGGATCAGATACATGACATCTTCATGTTCATTTATGGGTATGATGCATGTCATCATCATGTCCATATATGGGTGTGATACATGACATCATCATATCCATATATGGATATGATACATGACATGTCCATATATGGCAAATTGCACATGTCTATCACATATAACTTGATGATGTGGACATAGAGCTTTACATGTATTGAAATGATCAGGATCTACAAAATTAATATGTGCTATCATGAACAATGAAATTCTCCTTTTCAGGATATCAACCAAGGCTAAATATAATGCAAATTAATTTGTATTCTAAGAAGAATAAATAAGAAAAAGTTTTTTTTTTCTTTACAAATTATATGTATCAAACCAGATTTAATCCAAATGCTTTTAGTTCATTACTTAAGGCGCCACGTCCACATATCCGGGAGGTGCTCTCATCATTTATAATTTCTTTTGTTTCTTCATTAATTTTATGAAACATCTGTTGTTAATTTAAGCTTTTTATGCCACAAGGAAACTAGGTTTAAATTATTATCTTCTATTCACAAATGGCTTTAGAATGTAATTTCGAGGGAAGGGGCCAATATGTCCGGTAGGGACCTGAAGCAAAGGGCTGACTATAGGTCCTCTGGTCAAGACCCGAGTAAAAATCAAGGAGAGAGATTATAATGGTTTGGAAAATTGTGCTTTCAGATTGCAATAGATGCTAGGTTACTTTTAACTTTGGTTGAATCAGTGATTTAATGCTTTATAATCCAACGACTTCTAGTTACGGTTCCGGTTTATCAGTCTTGTCTTTTAATTAATACCTATTTCCTACTAAAACCCTATCAACATTATCTATTTTGCTGAATTTATGTCTGTTTGCCATTTTGTTTAAACATTTTTATTACTAATCCATGATAGTCCAGTAAGAGATTTTTAGCAACTCAAGATAAGTAGGTGAATAATTCATGTCATAGTGATAGCTTTCACCTGCAAAGAACAAATTGATTTTCGAGTATTTTAATCATCCACTGTTAATTTGGCTAAATTTCAGATCGTGTTTTTTACTGCATTTGGCAATAAGTTATATTAAATTAAATTAAAGTACCTTCTTCAGAAAGAGGTTTTTTTTAACTTCGCTAGATAGAGTAGGTTACAGTTTTGCTATGAGTTTTCTCACTTTTAGTGATTTGGAGTAGATTTTAACGGAAGAAGACAACTGTTCAGAAATCGTATGAGTGCCGTGTGACTGTTAATCATCAAAGCCACAGGAAAAGAATAGTTGTCACACACTCACTCATGCGGACTTATCTGAGAAAGAGTTGCCAGTTGTCTTAGATTTACTGGTTTAATTTAAAATGTTAAAATGTTATTTGATGGGACATTGCATTTGTTTTTTAACCACTTAAAATCAGTTTTGGTGGAGTGGTTGGCACAGTTGCATTCAGACTCTCAACCATAAGGTTGGGGGTCCAAATCAGCGCTGTGAATTTTCGTTGGGCAAGGCACTTTATCTGCATTTTGTCTCTCCCGACTCAGGATTCTGAACTGGTACCTCACCATTGTATGTTTTCTTTTTTGCTTTTGGTGAAATAAATGTCACGTTGATTGATTGATTGATTGATTGAGGATTGTAAATGAGTATGTATTATATTAGAATGATGGGCATTAATAGTCCCTACAAAATTAGGCGTGCAGATTAAATGTAGCAAAAACCTGCCATTTGTCAACAATTCTTATTTCGCACAAGCACCCAAAATGTTTGAGAATCAGAATTTTGAACATTTTCTGGGTTTTTGCATTTTATAAAAGAAGTTACTGTACATTGAAAAACATTTCTGCAAAGTATAAAATCTACCCGAAGAGCATATTAAAATTATCTTAAAGATACAAATCTTAATAATTAATAAACTATTGATTTTGGAATCGTTGGAAGCTATTTTCTCAAAACCTACATGGCTAATATCCCATGAATGAAACATTCATAACTTTAGTAATACTCAATCAATTTCCATCAAATAAACACTGCTTTAAAGAATTCATGCAGAATCTAAAAATACCAAAAACTCAATTTTGAAGTTTTCCTACAAATGACTGGTTTTGCCAGAGCCGATCACAAATGTGAACGCAAAGTCTCTTAAACACAGAAAAGTTCATAATTTAGTAAACAACATTTTATGTAAGTTTGAATAGTTTAATCATAGAGGTAAGAAAAATGCATTTTTAAAATCTTAAAGTGTACCAGTTTGTTCTGCATGAGTGAACAACATTATGATTTGCATATAGGTCAGATGAGGTCGGAGTTAATGTAACAGACTGTCCCGATTGGTGGTAAGTTTATGATAAGGTTATGCTTGGCAGCATGAATCGGTAACTACTGGAGCAAGAATTCCTGTGTAGTGTGGGCTTCATTAGATAAGTTAGTGGTCATAGGTAGAGAGAAGGCGCAACCCTATGGTGGTGGCAGCTACAATAAAGGACTTAGTTTGGTGTGATCTTTAAGATAGAAAATTTCCTACCAGGAACCATAATTTTAGTTGAGTTTTGGAAGAAGCTTCTGGAATGACTAAAAAATGCAAACAGTAATCAGGGGCGAATCCAGAGATGTCCGAAAGTGGGGCCGATCGAAAAAACACTACCCTAGGGGGTCCTGGGGCATTTTCCCACAATTTTTTTGTTTTCTAGATGCCCAAAAATAACCTCTGAGGTGTTTTGGGGGATCAATTATATCTTTTTCTTTTTATTTTTAACTTTCCAACAGGGGGCCCCACTAAAGCTGCCCCTGGTAATGAGCCTGAATAACGAATCTGTGCTTGATCTAGGCCTCATAGAGACTGCCTACACTATGCCCCACAGGGAGGGTGCAGGAATGTGTTTATGTAGCATTTTGATGCTAATATTTGTTACATGCAAACCAACCGTCTGAAGTTTAGAAGATGGGAATATACCCGGATAGAGCTTTTTGCATGAAAATTTCTTTAAAAAGTTTGTGTTCAGCTTATACCCAATAATTTCTCTGTCAAAATGATAATAAATGATTAAATTGTGGCAGAGGTGCACATATGATTAATCTGGAATGGATTTTACTAGAATTTTTAGATGACTCCCCATGATATTTACAGCAAACATCTGACAACCTCCTACCAAGGTTATTTTTATTATATTAGCTTAATAGTGTACCAGGAATCTGTTGTAATTGTTCATGAAAACCTTCAAAAAAAATTTCTTAATCCTTCCTTATTCACATTCTAATTTGGAGATCATTTTTCCTCAGCATTTTTAATAAGTCAAAGCATTTAAAGGGGAGGTAATGATAATTTTAAAATGACAACCATCATCATTCTATTGTACCCTTTCAAGGCAAGGGTATGTTTTGTACTTTGCTTAAAAATAGTATTACCTTGTGCTCTAATTTATGTAAATTTTGTGTGTTATTTGTAGCGGAATTGTTGCATTGTTGAGAAAATATCCATAAAAACATGGTAATTAAAAAAGAAATGTTGCAATGAAACAGCTGATTAGAAAAGGCCATCTCAAATTATAGTAATGTTGGCAAAAACTTAATAACTTAGAATGAACTATTTATGTATTTTGCAGCTGCTTTTCTGTAAAATAAGACAACGTAGTCTTTGCAAATTCTACTGAAATGCTTTGTGCATTATACAAGGAAGGTGAATGGGCCGGTCAATAGGCCGGTCAATATTCCGGTAGTTAATTGCATTTATGTATGTCTGTCAAATGCGTGAGACTAAAGAGGTATGCGACTTCTATAGTCACATGAAAATTAACATTGCAGTCAAATTTATGTTATTTGCATGCTGGGATACATTAAATTATACTGTTTTAGTGAATGTCCAATATACAATGATATCAACCAATCCTTTGTAGATCTAACCTCTAATAACTAATTTAATGTTTTAATGAATGGGTAACCACTATTATATGGTAGGGAGATGGCGGATCTTCCCCTGGTCTTCAATATTTAGCATTGACAAAAAGGGATGTGTTATAAACATTAGAGAAGTAATGATAACTATGGCCCTTCCTCTATTTAAGAAACAAAATTCTGGCTTCATTTAATATCCATATCCACAATATATTGTGCTTTTTTTTTTATAATTCTACAATCCTCTCCTACACATTTCCATTGTTGGTAATGAAATTTGCAATATAAATACATTTGGTGAGACTTTTTTTTTTTAAAAAATATTTTAGTTTACTAAATTTATATTTAATGAAACATTTTATAATAGTCTGTCATTATGTCAATTAGTAATACTTGCCATTTGAGATATTAAATCCTTATATCAACTTACTCAGTGACATCTGTGGATATGATAATTTGCTCAATTTGAGTTTAGTTCTGGGACACCAGACATCTCAATATCCCTCTTTGTTTGCGAATTATTTAATGTAGGCCTGCTGTATATTTTGCTCAGTATAGCTGAATTAATTTGTTATAGCACACATACTTATGCCATAGATAAAACTTTAAAGACACTCACGCATGATGATTTTAAAAGGGCAAACTGGCGACACACCGTTGTAAGGCTCATGTATCAGCCCAGAGAAGAGAGAGCACACTTTCTAGAGCACAAATGATTTTTTTGTTTTAAATCTATTCAAAATTTATCCAACAAACATAGTAATTGTCTCTGTATTTTGTATTAAGTATTTTTGTCTTTTTTTTGTTATTACTATGTTTTATGCTAATTATTTTTTTTTATCCACATTAGATTCCCAATCTGGCTAAAAACAAACACATACACATGATCAACATGGTAATTTAAAAATCCAATGAGTTGTCAACAACTAAATAAAGCAATTGATACAATGGTTATGTCTGTAATCAAATTCCTAGATGCATTTTCACCTGGTAACATATGTCCCTTTATCTTGTCTTTTAAAATTTACAATCTTAATTTCAGCCACCTGTCCATTTACAAAGAGGATGCAAATTACCCAGATGCCATTGCACTCACATTCGATGATGTCAATAAAAAGGTAAACAAATACTTGAATTAACAATATCATGTTCTTGTCATAATCCAGTGGTGAGCATGCAGGCACGTTGTAGCCAATCACATGGTAGAATACTCAGGATGTTTATATTTCAAGCAAGCATTAATAAAGTAACTGCTGGCTTACTATTTATGATTAGATCACAAAGTATTAATGCTTTAATGCCTTCCACGTAAAGTCAGTTATTTGTTTTATATGCTTAGTTTTTTAGTTAGGCCAAGTAAAAGTATAAATTTGTTTCCTGTACCTGCCCTTTGTTTTTTGTTGCTGCCTTAACCAGAATTAAAAATATTTGCAGTAACTGAAAAGCATATCATTATATTAGTGGTAGTTTAGATATTCTCATATTGTATAGGCCTATATGCATCGGATTGGTATTACCGGCATTATGATAGATCTTAAAATTCAAATTCTTTTCAAATTTTTCGAACAGGAAGCTTATTATAGTAGTCTAAGCAAGGCTAATGTAATTTGCATACCTTCTATGGATACTATGTTAAATGTAAAAAATGCATGGCATCATAAATTATTATGAGGAATGAGTATTTATTATTTGAAATGAAATGTAGTCATACAATAACAGACACAAAGTAGCAACCTTCAATAAATGATTATGTTTTTTCAAACTTACAGACCAGGATGTCTTTATTACAAACCTCGTAAATCCAAAATTTATATTTTAGAAATGTTATTTGTGTCAATGACGTCATAATGACCAATCTTTGTTAACTACCAACACATTTAAAATTGCATTTATTAATCTTTGAATACAGAATGCAAGATCATTTAAACCAATACATTGACACACAACCTAATTTTAATGTAATATTCCTATCAGAGCCAAGCATGCTTAATATTATTAGGTAGTTGGCCAAGGTGGGCGATGGGTGACTAAGCAATAATGCTCACTTCCAAAGGATAAAGCAGCCCACGCCTAGAATGTATATTGCTGTACTTTAGCCTTTGCTGAACCTATTGCAATCAATTTAATGGCAACAAACACACATTTTTTCATATTTTTGTATTATTCAAACAGCATTTGAAATATGTAGGCAATTTTACATATGTTCAAAAGTTATGACTATAAGTCATATTTTTGTGATTTTTTTTTAAAACATATTTCGAATTATCTTTCGTTTGCAAATTTTTAACCATTAGTTTCCCTGTACTTTATTGTTTTAGATAATTCCATTCATTTCCACCTGTAATGCATTTTTACTGCCGAAAAAATGAAATATTTTTTCAACATTATCTTTTTATAATAATTTTCACATATCTATTAAATTATTAATTTAAATTAGTTATAAACGTTTTATTCTTTATGTGTAAAAGTTAAAATGTAACTAAATTGCTATATCAGGAATGTAGTTATAGTGGGCGGAGCAGTCTAAAGCTAATTTCATGGTCCTCTACCTGCATTTGTTAACCTCTTACCCATTCTTAAAATCCACTCTTATACTTAGAGTTTACCAATGTTATCACCCAACCTTCTTAAAATGTCTACCACCCACACTTAAATTTCTACAGTTACAACCCTGCTGTATTTGATCATAATGATGTTATCCTTATCATTACAGTTAACTTGTGTTTACAATGACCATAGTGTGTATATATGGGATGTCCATGATGTGAAGATGGTTGGAAAACAATGGTCCTCATTGTACCACAGTTCCTGCATCTGGGGTGTAGAAGTGTACCCCACCTTAGGGAAGCTTCAAAAGGATACATTACCCTCAGGTTCATTTATTACCTGCTCGTCTGATGATACGATACGAGTTTGGAATCTCAATCACACAAATGCCAACGATGTATTCAAGAAGAATGTATATAGTAATGTAAGTTGTTTGTTTGGATTATTTACAAAAGTGATAATAATTGTTTATGTATTATAATTTTCCTTTATTTTGATACAAAGATAAAATGGCTCAAATGGAAATGGTAAAATAATTAACAAAATTTTGCTTTGCTATAGACTGCAGTTGTTACAGTGCGGCACTGCCTTTGGTGTTGAAATGGGCAGTACCCCAAGAAGACTTATTACTTCTTTTTTTTCTCTGAGTGTGTTTTATTTTCCTAAACCTTATAGTTGTTTTAATCATTGTATTTTTTACAGGAATTAATGAAAGTTATTTATATTGATGATGAGAAAACCCACCTAACTGGCTTACAATATAATCCCACCGGTCAAACAGACAAGACGGACACAGGGGAAGGCAAGAACGGTGTGCGGTGTTTGTGCATTACATCTGATGGACAACACCTAGCGTCGGGGGACAGGTCTGGAAATGTGCATGTCCACGACCTCGTACTCATGCAGGAGGTTAAGTGTATCGAGGCTCATGATTCAGAGGTGCTTTGCCTCAGTTATTCTAATGCAGAATCAGGTATGAATGGCAAATGTATACTCATATATATTGAAAGGCCTTTTATAGTTACTTTTTCTTTCTTTTAATAAAAGCTCGTTGGTTACTTAAATTGCACCTTTAAGTTGCTTGAAATAAAAATGTAGTGTTGAAATTTTGAAAACAGCTTCAAACAATAATTTAGGACTTTGTGCTACTTATTTAAAAGAATCAAATAAATAATCGTGTGCCAAAGAGAGATAGGTCGACAAAATTCTATTTTTGCTGATTCACAGACCTGATGTTAAATGGATTACTAGCTAAAAAAAAATAATATATAGGAATAATATTCTGTATCTGGTACTTGGCGACAAAAATATTTTTTGTAACGCTGCAATTTCTAATTGGAAGCTAACAGCTTAATGCATTGAAGTAAAATGTTAGTTTTGGATACATTTTTTCATCTACCCCTCCATATATTTCATTCATTTTTTTGACAAAATAGTCTAGACTATTTCCCATTATTACATGCCACAAATTGCAGTACATGCTTAACACTTTGTGATATCTGGCATTAAAATTAAGTGCCGATAAATTGTGATACCTCGAGGCACACGAGATGCACTTTTGAGTAGTATGTAAACTCAACTAAGTTTAATGATATTTCTGTACTGAGCACTGTGCGGCAGTGATATTGCACACTTAAAGTATTTCGTATTATCATCTGGCAAATGTTTCATAATTCTCTTTCCTTTTGAGCTACCTTGGGAAATGATTTGCAAGTACCTTGGGAAATGGTGAACCATATGTTTGTTGTCATTTATAAGCATTGGGGGAAGCCTTAGGTAATTTACTGTATTCGATGCCTAGGGTACCCTTTCTGACTGTATAATCAAGTTGTATTTCTTATTGGATTTAACAACCTATTTTGAATTTATTTTATTGGACAAGTGCTGTACCTAGTACAAAAGTATGATGAGTCTGACCATTCTACCACATAACACACTTTCTTGATGAATAATGAATATAAAAACATTTAATACACTCACTGTCTTTTTTTCTAAATCTAATTAATTAAATTTTTGAAGGCAAGGCTATGCAAAACATGGTGTGGCACTAACTTTAAGATTTATTTTATTAATTATATAAGTATATTTATATCTACAGGTCACAGCTTACTAGCATCTGCAAGTCGAGATCGTCTTGTCCATGTATTCAATCTTGAAGATGATTACTCATTGGTTGAAACAATTGATGACCACTCATCTTCAATAACAGCTGTCTCATTCGCTGGTAAGAACTTCATCCAATTAGCATATTCCTTTATGTTGTGTATTTTTATGTTGTATTTATTTATTATTGATTTCTTTTATCAAATGTTATTTCCAGTTTGTGAAATTAATTTGTATTGGTTTTTTGTTGCAATAAAATTTAAATCTTGTATTAGTTGCACAATTTGGACCAATCAGTCAGCCAAAGTGCATGTAGTAGAAAGAAAAATATGGAATTGTTGCGGACTGGCAAGATTTTCATATAGTTTTCAATTTTTTGTTTTTAGATGTAAATGGTCAGTTAGAGCTAATAAGCTCAGGTGCAGATAAGGCGCTGATGTGTCGGAAAGCAATTGAGGTATGGCGATATTGGTTAATTGAATTAATTAATAATTAATGATTGATTAATTTGCAAACCAGCATGATATTTGTATTACCACAGATCCTAGGATCTGTGGTATTACAATAAACTTGGTAAGATTGGCAAATTTATATTTTCAGTCCGATGACTTATAGAGCCGTGCTTGTTTGATGGGAAAAAGGAGAAATTGCACAGCAAAAAAATATCAGTCCCAACCTAAACATTGTGAGCCCAAATTTACATCAGTAGGAAATTATCTGTTTCTTGAACCAATTAGTTGCTTACATTAGCAACGGCACAGATCCCATAACGGTTTCAGCAACAACATTAGTTCTCTACAGTTTAGTATTGGTTTAAGAAAAATTATGCATGGACATGGTTAATATTGTTATAGTAATAATGTCACCTATGTTATATTTCTCATTTTGGGTAGGAGCCTAGTTTGCATTTTGTGCGGAGCCATCACATTGTTGGTAAGGCTACGTTTCATGACTTAGCTGTTGATCCCACCTGCAAGTATGTTGCCACAGCCTCTCAAGACCGCAGTGTTAAGTGAGTTGTTCTTACTAGGATTTTTCTCTTCCTTGGAAATCTATACATGGACTCTTCTAAAACTTTGTCTACACTATCAAACTTCATCGAAAAAGTGTCACATAAAATGTGATGGAAAATAAGAGTTGAACACGTTCAACTTTTTTTGATACAATTTGATAGTATGTGATATGATGTCATGGTACCCATATTATGGGCAAATTTTTTTGTCACACAAAGTTTAACGTTGCCTCTCACCTGGTATCTCTCTTCTGTTCCACATTTCATAGCAATAACATTCTGCTTTTATAACTTGTCCTATTTTCCTTCATCCTTCTCAACTAGAATACACCACCTAGCAAACGGAAAACTAAGGAACTCGTACAAGGGAGCATTAGCAGAAGACGGCACATTGATCCGCATTGAAATTGATCCTTCAGGATTGTATGCTGCTACCAGTTGTTCAGATAAGTCAATAGCTATCTGTGACCTCAGTTCTGGGGAGTTCCTGGCAACCATGGTTGGACATGCAGGTAAGTTTAAGAAATTTTGTGGAGAATAAAAAACCACTGAACATTCATATAATAACAGTACAGTTGTTAGATGTCCTCACTTATGTCAAAAATATTTAAAAGACGAAAAACAGATCAGATTTCTTATACAGTAGATAAAATATTATATGCTCAGTATAAAATATTAATATAGTATAGTTCTCCCTCCAATTAAAGACAACTATTGAGAGCAGGGTTTTCCTGGTTTTTAGCATTTTTCGTCTTTAATTATTATTTTAAAAATAAAAGATAAGCATTCACTTGGAACTGCAAAAAAGAGGTTGTTAATTGGAGGTGGTCTTTAATTGGAGTGAGACCTGTCTACAGCACTAAAAATAATATTGTGTTTGTGAATTTATCATGCATACCACCATAATCAGTAGAAGCAGAAAAACCATCACATCTGTTTGTTATATCAGCAATGGTTCAATTACCCTAACAATAGTACCCATATTATCGCAACCTACTTTGTACTTGGCGTCATTTTTTCTTTGATGTCCATGGCCCTATTTGATTTCGGCTGCTAATTTCGTCATATTAATTTCGATGAATTCTATCTGATTAATTAATGAATGTATCATAGCAGATAGCAGATATTTTTGAACAATTGTCAGGTTTCTAGTCAATTAGATAATAAATCATATTTTCCATTCAAGGTTGGGACAATTGAAACAAATATTAGGTGACCAGATATTTACTGTACTTTTTATAAAATGTCTCTTACAACCTGACACATGAGAATGAATCATATATCAGCTTGTAAGAGCCACTTCACCACCATTTAATCTACAATGGATGTCTTATTTTTATATATCTGTGTAACTAATAAGTTGTACAGTGGCTCTTATAAGCTGATATAGAAACTGATGTCACTTGTAAGAACCACTGTTCTATTTACCAATTTCATAGATATTTAGACACTATGTATTTATTAATATAAATGCACAGAAGTACATGGTGGCTCTTAAAAACTCACATAAGATCCTTCCACCTAAAAAATATAACCATGAGATAGTCATCCCTGGCGGCTTGTGATTTGGCGTCTAGCAACATACAGTTCATGAGTTGTTTAATGTAGTATATTGAAGTCCAATTGTACACTTTAATTATGCATTATTTTGCATGCCTCATTTGTTTTATTTTGAAATATGATCATGCATTCTAATAATCACTTTAGCATTCTAGATGACATATGGTGCACAAACATTTACAGTAACAAATGAGGTTAACTATTTTTTCACATTGCTCTTTTAATTTATGAACAATATTTTTTTAATTTTCTGTTTTAATGTTGGCATCTAATCTCTGTAATTGTAATATTAATTTCGATGAATTCTATCTGATTAATTAATGGCTGTATCATAGCAGATAGCAGATATTTTTGAACAATTGTCAGGTTTCTAGTCAATTAGATAATACATCATATTTTCTATTCAAGGTTGGGACAATTGAAACAAATATTAGGTGACCAGATATTTACTGTACTTTTTATAAAATGTCTCTTACAACCTGACACATGAGAATGAATCATATATCAGCTTGTAAGAGCCACTTCACCACCATTTAATCTACAATGGATGTCTTATTTTTAGATATCTGTGTAACTATTAAGTTGTACAGTGGCTCTTATAAGCTGATATAGAAACTGATGTCACTTGTAAGAACCACTGTTCTATTTACCAATTTCATAGATATTTAGACACTATGTATTTATTAATATAAATGCACAGAAGTACATGGTGGCTCTTAAAAACTCACATAGGATTCTTCCACCTATACCTGTCAGTGTTGAAAATATAACCATGAGATAGTCATCCTTGGCAGCTTGTGATTTGGCGTCTAGCAACATACAGTTCATGAGTTGTTTAATTTAGTATATTGAAGTCCAATTGTTCACTTCAATTATGCATTATTTTGCATGCCTCATTTGTTTTATTTTGAAATATAATCATGCATTCTAATAATCACTGTAGCATTCTAGATGATATATGGTGCACATTTGGTACAGTAACAAATGAGGTTAAATATTTTTTCACATTGCTCTTTTAATTTATAAACAATATTTTTTTTAATTTTCTGTTTAAATGTTGGCATCTAATCTCAGTAATTTTAATATATAGTGTCAGAATCCAAAGTCAATTTTGGCCCTGGAATCTGCATACTTATGATTGAATACAGATTCTGTCAGTGTTATCTGTTGTTTCATTTAAATATCACTATTTAATTTCACAGAATTGGTAACAGGAATTAAATTTTCCAATGATTGCAAGCACCTTTATTCAGTATCTGGGGACGGGTAAGTTTGGAAAACCAAAATGTAGAAGTATAGTACATATTATAATGTATATATACAGACTCACCTTTATAGGAGTAATCTTCTTCCCAATGAGTGACTGTTTCCAACAGTAACAAGCATCTTCCCATGGAAGCAGGGGATCAAGTGGGCTTATGTCCCCTCCATCGGACAAGTCAAGCCCCCACCGGCCGAGCTCGTCGGGCAGTCGGACCAAAAAAAAAGAATTTGTAATATAGGCGTACACCAAGCCAAAACATGTCTTTCGCAGTTGTAGAGTGCCATTTCCGGCCATCCAGAGGTCCCTGTTTTTAAAAAAAGTCTCATTTCTAACTTTTTGAAAATTTAGGGGTCCTTTTTTGTACCCACCTAGACTTGTGGGTCCCCTATCAGTCAGCATGCTATTGACCAGTACAGCCCTACTCCTATGATGAAAGAGAGCATTGTGTATTTATCATAATGCTAGTCTTGAAACATTTTATTTCATGTTACAGGTGTATTTTTGTGTGGAAATTGCCTTGGGGCATGACATATTCCATGAAGAACAGGCGTGCCGAGATTGAAGCATTGAGAAATCCAATGCCAGAAATCAAGTTAACCAGGTAGGTAATTCCATCCATTTTAGGTTGTCTGAGAACAGCTTAAAACATACTATTATAGTTTTTTTTAGTCTAGCTTTGCCTAATAAAGTGATGAAGTATTGATATGATTGGTCTCAACTTTTTTTCAAAGTTACTTATCTGTAAAGGATGCCCCTTATTCTTGAAATAAATTGTTATTCAGAGATCTACAATGTTGATTCTAAAATACAAAAGCAACCAATTTTATAAGCTTTTTACAATACTTTTTATTAACTATCATGCTAAAATTATCAGTGACCCTGAGGTCTTTTCACCATTCTGATAAAGTATTGTATATATGTGTAACTGATAAAGTAATTCTAACGACACTTAAGGAGTGAAATTTTTTTTCAGTATAATTTAAAATAATTATTGTCTATTTTTATTGTTTTATATAGATGATCTTTTTTTTTACTAGACTAAATGTGATTTTCATACCTGTATACAAATGTAATCAACCAATTTTATCAACTCTTCTGTTTTTTTCCTAACACTAGGAGAGGCACGTATGTTGTGCCACCAGAGAATGTTCCAAATCAAGTGCCAAATACCACCCTTAATCGGAGCTCCATTGTCGTGGATAATGCCCTGTTCCAACCTGCAACAGAGTCCATGTTCCCAGTGGAGGTTAAACTTCAGAATAATAGGACAGCTGAGCTTAAAGGTAAGTTAATGTTTATTTATTATCAAGAGATTTCACATAAATGAAGTCACAAGTATATTTTGAGCTGGCATTTATCCTATTGAATGTAAGCATCCTGAATTTTTTCTTCCTGATTGGCTGTCACCCAACACTAACCATATATACAATTCTTTAATTGTTCACAGAAACTTCTCCGGATTATCGATTCAGTGTTGGCCAGCTTCCTTCTTGGGCTAAGAAACAGGTTCGTTTAAACTAATTTTTTCCATAATCTAATTTAGATTTTAAGTGTTTATACCAATTATGGCATCAAAACCATTTTTATATGGTCACCTAAATTGCTGTTGTCAGAAATATGCTAACAAATAAATCTTCTTATTGCTCATTTTTGTTGTTTTTCCTGTTTATTTTGTTTTCAAAAAATATATAAAACTACAAATAGTAACAGATTGTTTTTATGTAGTGTAACATTATCCTTGTCTTGAAGATTATATAGATGCTGCTTCATATGTGGTATTGTGTTCTTGTTCCTAGCAAATTATCTGCATTTATGTAATATTATTATGAGTTAATATTTATACTGAAGAACATTGATTTCAGTTTTTGGTTTGATCCTAAATTCTTTTCTTTCTTTATATTAAACTTTATTTTAATAATGAAATACATTGTGGTTTTGTTGATTATACTGTAGGTAATGGGAGGGGAGAACAAGTCTAGCCCAAGCACATACATCAGCCCTTCGCAGCCTAAAGGTCGCTGGGCCCAGAGACTAGACAAGGGATTCAAGGTCAAGTCGGATATGCACGAAAGCATCATGCTTAACCTGGATGACTGTATGGGTAAGAGGTTTAGCCTTGTTTAAATATAGTCTGGGATGCTCTTGGTTATCCATCTTCTTCTTAACTTGTCCAAACACTTGCTAGAACTCAGCCAAAGCTGGACACATACCCTGGATTTAACATAATTGTATTTTGGTTTGGTTGCTTTAGATCGAAGACGTTACACAGTGGAGCCTGATACCATATCAGAGCAAGTGAGTGAATTCTTAAACAGATTATTAACTGTAAGTAAAATTTTGTTGCTTAAAATCTCTGGCATTGTGTTGCATGCACCATATTGCACAGCCTCTGCCCCAAGAGTCACCTAACAAGACATATGCTAAATTCATCGCTAACAGTTCCGTAAGTACAGAATTAAACCTTTAAAAGAATTTAAAATTCATATATACTGTAATGCAAAACAAATATTTTAAAGGGTGGTAGTCCTTTGTGTTCTGGTGATGATTGCATTATTCGGTTGAATTGTGGCTTAGTAGTCGATGCTTGCTAACACAATTCAGGGGTCCCAAGGTAGAGGCAATCTCTTCCAGGAGATCGAGTTAAATGAGCATTCCTAACATTTAATTTCATTTTGATGCGCATGGTGATAGCCATCAGTACAAACGCGTATGTGTGATTGGTTGATGATAGAAACACGCTCACTTGCTAACCGATAGCGCAACCGTTAGCGGTATCCGGATACTGCTAACGGTTAGCGCTAACCGATCGGCCGTTCTCACGCAAGTGCTAACGGTTAGCGCTAACCGATCAGGCGTTCTCACACAAATGCTAACGGTTAGCATTTGCGTGACAACAGATATGTCAGGTCAAAAATATGTTCTTTGTTTGCACTAATGCAAACTTTGTCTCTGTGTGGCGATATGTTGTTGAAATGATTAGCTGTTTTTTTGATATGGTATTTAAGGAAACACAATTCAATTTATATTATAATCAATCACATGGATGAAGGCATCAGAATTAAAATGGGCTCAATCAAATTCATCATGGAAACACATTGGTCTACCACTGTGACTTTACTGACAAAATGTATTTTCTCTTCATTTCTTTTTCTTCCTTTATTTCTTATTTACTTTCATTATTTACCAGGAATGCAGTTATTATAATTTTTTAATTAACAATGATTTATTTATTTTTACACACATACATTTTTAGTTTGGAATGCAAATTATATTCATCTATTCTTATGTTTTTCTATTTCCTTCCTTGATTAACTCTCTTGTGTTAATAAAGGGTAAAGCACCTCATCCAGTTCAAGTAGTAAAGAAGGTAACTATTTGGTGTTTATTTAAACAGTGTTAAAATGTGTTCTAGCAGTGTTATTTTTGTGTGTTAAAAGTGAATTTTAACACTGTTTTAATGTATGATCAGTGTTTAAAGCATGGCAGATTCGAGTGTGATAACAGTGTTTCAGCTGTGTTTAATTCTGCTTTAACAGTGTTAAAAGTTGGTTCTAGCAGTATTATCTTTTTGTGTTAAAAGTGAATTTTAACACTGTTTTAACGTATAATCAGTGTTAAAAGTATGTTCTTGCAATGTTATCTGTTTGTGTTAAAAGTAAATTTCTGCACTGTTTAAAATTACCTTAAATTGTTAGTGTTAAAAGTATGATAACAATGTTTCAGTTGTGTTTAATACTGTTTTAATAGTGTTAAAAGTATGTCCTAGCAGTGTTAAATGTTTTGTGTTAAAAGTGAATTTTAACACTGTTTAAAATAATATGTGGTAACAGTTTTAATGTATGGTCAGTGTTAAGTGTGTGATAATAAAGTTTCAGTTGTGTTTAATATTAATTTAACAGTGTTGAAAGTGTGTTCTAGCAGTGTACAATGTTAAAAGTGAGTTTTATCACAACAGTTAACAGTTTTAATGTATGGTCAGTGTGTTCTAGCAGCACTTTGTGTTGAAGTGAGTTTTAACACTGTTTAAAGATGTGTTAAAATTGTGATAACAATGTTTCAAGTGTGTTTAATTCTGGATCAAAATTTGTGTGTATCATGTTATACATTACAACAATAACGTTATCTTGTATGTTGTATCTTTTTTTAACAGTGTGTTAAACAATGTTATAACCATTCTATATGTTGGTTTTAACAGTGTTTGCTTTCTGCTTGGCATTGCTTTGTTGCTGTGTTTGCATTTACTGTTTCAAGAAAATTTATAAAAAGTTATAAAAGCTGTCATTGGTAGAAATACATCATAAATCATGAATTGGTATATACTGACCAATTAAATGGATTTTAATATTGTCATTCACTGTCAATGTGTTATTGTTAAAAGCACTGAAATAGATGCCAGTGTCTCATTTTATTTCTTGATTATTATTGTTTTTATGTATACCTCAATAGTATTATATGATATGATTAATTGGTGTATTAATATTATATTAGTAACCAGTAAATTAATTAAAACATTTTTGTACCTCCTTGCATTGTCTTGACTTTCATAATAATTGAGAATACTCTTGAAGCATTTCTCATCACTATTATTTTTATTTTTCCTACTTTTTTTGTATTGTGTATGTAAAGTGGTATATACTGTAGGAAGGGGCCAATCATGTTTTCATTGTTTCATAAGTACAAAACATATGCTGGGTGGAGTTAACATGTATGTATTGTCTTAGTGAAAAGGGTTCTCAAAATTACAGTAATCATGTACACATGTAGATGGGAATGTGGTTGGGGGAGGGGGAGGTGTGGTAACAAAAAAAAAACATGTTTTGTACTCTTTAAAAAATAAATTACACATGATATAGCAACCTAATCATTTATTAAATATAAACTAACTTTAAACCAACATCCTATACCGTTTAATTATGTGAAGTAATTTAAAGTCTTTAAAATTAACTGGGTTTTTTTTAAATCTTCTTTTTTTTGTAGGATGAAAACCACACAGATGCAAATGATGAGGTAAAGATTTGATTTCAATATATTGTTTACAAAGAACTATTTTTACCTCTGTCCACACTATCAAATTGTCTTTGACAAAACACTTGTATGCCCATATATAGTCATGATATGCCTATATATGGTCATGATGTGATGTCATCATGACCATATTCAGGCATGTCACTTGTTTTTTAAATAAAATTTGATAGTCTGGACAGGGCTTCAGTTAAACATAAATAAATGAACAGAGAACAATTTATATTTTTTCTTCTTTTGTTTGTCCAGGAAATCAATGTTAATGAAGACACGTTTCTGGCTGTTAAACCAAGACAACTACAGGTAATTTTTTAACAACAATGTTGTAGTCATGTTTGTATAAGGCTACCCCCTACCCTTTGAGTCATTTTAATGCAGTAGGATTCATTTGGTATTATAAACCCACCCCATTTAAACAACTGTAAACATACCTCATTTCTACATTCATTTATATCACACTAATTGTAGTTTTTTAAGATTTTTTATTTATATTCAGCCTTTCAATTCAGTGTATGCTGCAACAGACTGTTTTGTATTTGAGCCTCTTTTATGCAATTTAAAATATACCCAAATGTATGTCATTAATTTAAACCACATGCCCTCCCCTTTTGAGTTATTAACTTTAATTCATAAATTTAACTAATTGAAGTACCTTTAGACAAAATCTAACATTAAGTAGATAGTCAGTTAGAATATTATATATACAAGATCTAAATTGTTGACTGTTGATCAATTTTTGTTAAAGTTTCTGCTGCTAAATATTTTAATCAGACCTAATGCATTTTATATCAGACCACTAGTAATGTAACGTTATCAAGAGGCTGTGATCCATTGATACAACCACAAGAGATATTTGACCGTGACTCTAATAGCCAGTGGGAGCCTGCATCTTCTCTTGATGATCAAATCTTGGAGCTGGAGAGTTTAGAATCGCAAGAGAAGGAATTTTTCACAGTAGAAGATGAAGAGGAGGAGGAGGACGACGAAGAGGAGACAACTGTGATTATCTATCCAACAAATGGTGATGCACCACCATCTCCAGACAGGTAATGTTCATAGATTCAGTCGCCACTTGCTCTTATGGAATTAAAATCTGTACATTATATGTATTTGTACAACTTGTGTATCCTTAATCACGATAGGGAGCTTTTAATTTGCGTGCGGTTCATTCATACGTGACTATCCTACGTTCTTTGCACAACGTCGATTTGGTCAAACTGCGTCTTAGAATCCACACGATGAGGAGAACTTGACGTTATCGCATGCGCAGATGACATATTAGTGACATCATTACGTTCTAGATTCTACCACGTTGTGCAATCGAAAGTTAATTTATTCAGTAAGACGACAATCCCAAGCACACCATCCAACCATCAATATATTACATCAATGCATTAACTGGTGCTAGACACTTTTTTTTTATTACAGTGTTTATTTTATTTATTTTTTCCAACTTCATTTAACTTTTCATATTCATTGTAATTCATATATTTTATTGTTATGATTTTCCGCAGTTCAACATTTCAAGTGACAGAGACTTCATTTATTGCGAGAAAATCAAGAAAAAGTTCCAAGGACAAAGATGAATTAGAAGTGAATCAAGGACAAGATCCAGGTAATAAGATTGATAAAAAGCAAATGTAACATTTTCTCCCACTAAGTTGTGGATATTTTTTTTAATAATTGTAGTTTATGTGATAAATAGGAGCTTCCAAATATTTGGGGTGGGGAGGCTGAAAAATGTGTATGAACAAAGGATAAGCCTCTAATGTTAATAATCTTTGGAATGGGATTCATTTTATCTTATCCATATTCTTATGTTTATGTTGATAAATTTCATTTTTTGCTGTTATTTGTATAATTTTTTTATTGTTTCGTAAAGACTTTTTTTATGAATGTTGGTTTTTATGTTTAAATGTCTTTTATCATAACAATTTGATTTGTTTCCATTAGTTGGTAGTGGTGAAAATTCAGACGATGAAGACGATGAAGAAGACGAGGACGAAGAAGATGATAGCCGAGAAACGTCTCCTACAAGCAAACTGGAAGTTAACAAGGGTAGCGAGACTCCTCAAACACCAGACGAAGACGACCAGAAGTTCTTGAGGACAAACTACGTGTTCAAGGAGAAAGCTCTATTTGGGAAGTGCATGGAACAGCTAGAGGCCCAGTTTGCTAGTGACTTAGATTTTCCAGGAAGACTCAGCTTGTCTTCAAAGTTCTTGTCAAAATCACAGCATAGTCAAATCAGGTAAGGATGTTACGTTCATAATAACAAAAGTGTTGCAGTTTTTCCTAATTCGGAGTCTGTGTCTATAAATAAATTATACTATTGATGCTAATAATGATGTTGATAATAACAACAACAACAACAACAACAATAACAACAGCATTAGAAGAGAGCATATCTCCACCCACATCAAATCCCTTTCTTTAAAATAAATCTCCTAAAAAGTGTTGTTAATTTTCAACATATCTCCTGGCAGAGATAATAATTATATAGTTTTATATATTAATTTTGTTATAATTTGTATAGTTACATTATAATTTAAATGGTTGAAATTGCTTTAAAATTATACTATTATAATTGTATATATCAATGTTTTTTCTCAATCATATAGAGGTCGTGTAGAACCAGTGTCAATAAACTTTAACAAGCCAGTAGATCCAACTGAGGTATGTATCAACCTAATATACACTAAGTATATGTACATAAATTTCCATATTTTATTATTTTTGTTTTTATTATTCAGGTTGTTGTCCTGTAGTTTTAAGTCATATTGTACGGTAAAATTTCCTATGAGCCATTGGCTACTTGTTATATACTGTAGTCTACGCTAGAAAAAAGATGAATTCTTAAGCCAGCAGGGACGGATCCAGAGATGTCCAAAAGGGGGCCCGAAAGGGGGGCCGAAATTTGGGCTGATCGAGACAACAATGCCCTAGGGGGTCCGGGGGCATTCCCCCCTCGAAAATTTTTGTGTTCTAGACGCCCGAAAATAACATTTGAGGCGTTCTGGGCTATCATTTCTTCCTTTTCTTTCTTTTTTCTTTTTTTACCTCCCAAAAGGTTGGGGGGGCGGCCCCTAAATCCGCCCCTGGCCAGGTACTCATTGCGTGGTATGACGGTTGTACGGCTGTCAGCCGACGAATTCAACTGCACTTCATTTGAGCATTACACACGGCCTTCTGATTGTTAGTGGTATCTAGTGGCAACCTGAACAGATCGTTGTTAAAATTAGTCTGTTGCCTGTGCAGCATAGAGTTGTGTTCTCCATAGATCGCGTTGAGCGATTTGAGTGCCTGGACTTATGCACTGACGTTCCATTTGGAAATTTTCATTTGAATTTATATTTCGGACAACCACTTACATTTTCAATACATTTATGTAGTTATGGTCTGATATGTATATTAATAATATTAATCAATCATCTTTAATTTCAAGATTTTATATTCATATAGATAACAATACAAATAATATAATGTAGTAATAATATAATGTTAGTAGTGTATTAATAAGATAAATCATAGCATTAGTAAAACAGTTTCTGATACACCACAATTTTTTTGAATTTGGTCTTGTGGAGAATCATGGTTATAACTTCTGATTTTTTCAGAGAAATTACCAGGACACTGACATCAATTACAAAATGATAGATGTATAACTTTGCTTCACTTTGAGCAATTACTCTAATACATCATCTATAGGAACTTATACTATTTTAATTAATTATCATAGTGTCAAAATAATAATGATACTAATAATAATAAAAATGTAAATTATATAGATAACAATTTTCAATAATCACAATTTCATTGAAAATATGTTTATTCATATTTTTGTAACAATATGGTGCATCAACCATTTACTATTGAAATAATGATAATATACATTTTTTATTAATTGATAGATCATTTTCTTCATAGGTTGTGTTGAATCACATAATAATCATTTCTACTGTTCATATTGAATGATCATTTCATTCGTATTAATATAAACTTTACGTGATGGTAATGTACATTATATACACAATTATTCTAGTATAAATTTTATTATTTTTTAATCATAAGAGTTGAAGAAAATGTGAAGAGCTTGTTGTTAACTCCTTGAATACATATTCTTAGATCTCCAATACACAATTGTGGATGAAGATGATGATGTCATTATCATATTGTTAATGAGGTATATAAAGATAATGATGATAAAATGTAAATGTTTGTAGGATTGAATCTTAAATTATTAAATTGTAATTATACACATAGAAGACTAGAAATACTTACTAGATAAGTCAAATGTAACTTGCACAAGTTTAAAACTTTAATTCACATTCTTTATCCCTTCATCAATTGGTAGTTTTAAACACCCAAGAGACACTTCAGGACAAGTTTAAAATTTCATCCATATCACTCATCTTACTTTTGCAACATTCTAATTACTGTGTTGATGCATTTTAGTGGCAGTTACGTCTGAATGTCAATCACACATATATACATGTACATTGTAATCCAACATTTTTTTTACTTACATGTATCTAGGCAAAATCAATCACAGGGTGGAAAATTCTAATTATAATGTGTTGGGTTTAGAGTAGTGCAAGCTTTAAGATGGACACTGTGTGCTATATTTCCTCTAAGATCTTTTACTAACAAGATAACACAGTCTTCGATTTCTGCGTGAAAATTCTTCAAAGCAGCATACTCATTTAGTAGGGCACCCTCTTGCAAAACAATTGCTTTTAAACTATGTCAGCAAAGATCTTTCGACATTTCTATATGTTGCGCATAAAAGCGCAGAGTGCGTTATCTTGATATAAAATCTTTCTATTTCATTTAAGAATGGATATTCAGATTATAGAGAGCGATGTGTATAATATTTCATTTAAGATGGGATACTCAAATTATAGAGGGTGATGTGTATAATATTTCATTTAAGATGGGATACTCAGAATTATAGATGGCACTGTGTGTAATATTTCAAGATGGGATACTCAGCATTACGTAGGGCAATGTTTGCAATACTGTATTTCATTCTTTTTATTGTATTCTTATCCAAATGTAGATGTCTTGGGGACGTTGATTAAAATTGTGGAATTAGGTTTAAAGTGTCAATAAGCTATGAATGAGGGGTAAATTTTTAGTCGTTCTTAATCATTCTTTGGCTTCGCTTGTATCATAATGGCCGTGTGATGTGTTAGTACCTACAGCGACGCAAGGAGGATGTGGCGCGTGCAGTGGACGAGACAAGAAAGCGCCTTCAAGCAGTAAGTGCCAGCAACGTGCACACACACATTAATCATGTTCCGGTTGCTTTATCATACCCTGCGTTGCTTTGGCTATCGCCAGGCTTCTTGTGTGTTTGCACTTGTTGTCCATGGTTGAAATTTTGTAGTTGTTAGAATTTGGTCTGGTAGTTTTTTGTGACTTATATCATCAACATAAATTGCATATCTACAGTTATAATTGCACGGTCTTTAAAATGTGGTGTGGTCGAATTTTTCCAACTGTCTGTCATGTCTTCCATCAGCTTCTTAATCATATTTGAATGCATAACAAGCTCTGTTGTGTCATAACATAATATTATTTTCTTCTACAGTACGAATAGCATATATTTTGTTACTATTAACCATCTAATACATGAATGCAATGCTTTATTTCATGCATGTTTATCATATACAGTACAAGTCTCCTTCTATTAAAATTCCTCCAACTAAGGACCACCTCCAAGTAAAGACCACTTTTCTGTGGTCCCAAATTATTACCATTGTGTTTTATTTTTATTATTCTAATTAGAGACCAAAACTGCTAAATAACATGGAAACACTGATCCCAGAAGTGGTCTTTAATTAGAGGGATACCTGGGGTGGATTGCTATAAAACGGTCTTTCTTAACTCCTTGAATAAAGCCGGCTTTTTCACTTAGACGGTCTTACTAAAGTCATTCCTCTAAGACCGTTGCTATAAAACAGTCTTCCCTAACACCGATTTGAGTATTGAAACGCAAACAAGTACTCCCTGGTACATAAGATTAAGGGCGACGTAATGCGTGCTCGACGCACGCAAATGTATCGGAATGAACGTAAATAAACATAGACCTATTTTTACACCGAGAAGTGTGCAGAATATTCGTCGTTCGATTCTCCGAATTTGACGATTTAGGCCTAGAGGTCTTGCCATTGCACTGTTGAATTAATCAGCAAAACACCATAATGAATTTAAGACCATTTTAAGTTTCCTCCGAGTAGGCTTTATAATTTAAGACGGCTAACTGGTTAGACCGCGGTATAGCAATGGTCTATAATCATAGACCAGTAGTAATGTCACAATTATAGCTGGCTAACCGTCTAAAGACCGCTCATAGCATTCCACCCCTGTATTTATATTATGAATTTTATTCCTGATAAAGATTCATTTTTTGTTGTTGCTATTAATCATATTACAACTTGTGTATTGAAATTACTGTTACCATGGAGTAGCAACTCCTTACTATCACATTGTACCTACTTTTGAGTTCTTTGTTTTTTTTATTTGGGAGCTGATATATCTCTACTTTATAAAACACTATTAATGGATTTGACTAATACCTTATATATACAAGGCAATATTAACCAAATTTATCTCTTCATAGTCATAAACTTTACCATACTGGCTTTAAATTTATACTTTGTTTCTAATGTACTTATAAATCATGTGAAGATATTGATCAATTAAAGAGTATAATGGCAAAATTTTAAAATCAATTTTTATAATTGATATGTACATGTATTAATTTAAAAAAATTGAAAGTCTTACTTTAATTAATACTATGACAGTTATATAGCTTGGTCAATGATACTGTACAAATAGACATATGTATGGATTGTGTATATGTTTATTCAGATATCTGACTCTTGAAACAGATGTTTGATCCTAACAGTGACAGCTGATCCTTGTAAAAGAAACAGAAATGTTTGATCTTAACAGCGGTGATTGATCCCTGTAAAAGAGATATCTGGCTCTTGAAACAGAGATTTTTGATCCTAACACTAACAGTGACAAATGATCCTTGTGACAGAGATATCTGACCTTTGTAACAGAGAGGTTGAATGTAGCGACGTCAGATTTTTGTAACAGCAACATCTGATCTTGTAACAGAGATATCTTATGTAAATTATAGAGTCTTAACTATAGGCTGCATGAAAACAGGGTATTACTGAAATAATAAATCGGAATCACTTTTTACTCCAATACATTTTTTTAACATGTGCAGGCCAACATATACAAATAGTTATACGAAAGCATTATGCTCAGCATATCATAATTCATTAAAATACATTTCTCACACACATACATTTACTGTAGTGAACGTGTGGTGAAGACATTCTTAAACTTCATATTTGGTAAAGATGGTCTGGCAGCTCTGTTGCAGAATCATCAATTTAATTACAGTATTCTATTAAAGCTTTGTCCACACTATCAAATTTTATGTCAAAAGAAACTGTGATATGCCCATATTTGGGTGTATATGACATTTTCATGCCCATTTGTCACATACAATTTGATTGTGTGAACAGAGCTATAAATGATCCATTGAGGTTTGATACTCAGGTGCAAATTCTAGCTACCAAACAAAATATTCTTTTAGTACATTAAATCATACATAGATTCATGGTAGGATTCAGTAGGCCTAAAGGTCCTACAGTATTAATGTTGCTTGTCATTAATACAAGATGCTGTATTTCATTGCTAACTGTCTTTAATGACATTTATTGAATCAGTTATCCATATTAAACGCATGTTGCCCTTAATAGTTGTAGCCATTTTAAAATTGTAATAATCATGAATTTAGTTGGCAGAGAAACGAAATAAAAATTGTTTATCTTTTTTCTTACTCAGTGTCGTAGTGATCAAACAAGTGCTGCAGCATTTACTAAAATTATCAGAGTTGTGTTTCTTGTGTTATTATGTTAAAATGTTACCATAATGTTGTATTTACGCTGAGAAATTGTTTAATATTTTGCTGATTATAGAACATGTCAAGCCACTTTGGGTTAATATTTCCACTGATTAAAACTGTTATTAAAAATAAAATAGGCCTATATGTAATACCATAATATTTGACCATTTACTGTAATCCGACAGATTGGTTGTATGAAAGAAATGAATGTCTAAATCATAAAAAAAACCAAAATATTTTATATGTATTTAAGTTTACATAATGCAATTTAACAGCACAGTAGTTGGTTTTTTCACACATTATTTTTTTTTTTTAAAGCTTGGATGGAAATCAATGAAAAATGCAGATACAACATCAGATGCTACACTAAAAAGAGTTGGTGAGAATCTGAAAGACTCAGACTCTGTGAAGAAACCAAAGAATGTATCCAAAACCAATGCTGAAGAGGGCATTGTTACTTCCAGTAACAATACACCAAACACAGCAAAGTCCGGTGGCAGGGTTCTTCAGGAAAGAGATGGCCACCACAGAGCTACTCCAGACCACCAAAGAAACTTATCCGATTCCTCCACAACAACCGAAGATGATTCTCCACCTTCAAATGAGGTTGAGAAGGAAAACATAAAGAATAGATATGAGAAGAAGAAAGTATCAAACACCAGCAAGAATAGAATGGATAGATTGAAAGCACGACGAGAAGGTAAATCAAACACACAAGATTTGAAGAAGTCGCAATCAATGACTGACCTAAGGTCACCAGAAGGTACAGTATGGTATTTGTTGAAATAATCAAATTTAATTTTTGCTTACTTTGTGGCTCCGCAGTCATCAGTGCTAACTCTTCAGAAATAATGAGATGCATAATAAGACAATTCATTCTCCTTTTCATACAGAAATAGAATTAGTACTGTACATGTAACCTTGGGATTATACCAAATGAACTTAAATTTATATATTTGTATATACTGTACGGATATGTCCAATACAGAATGTAATTCATTTTCAGTATTTGTTTTGATTTACCTAATTAGACATAGAGGAAGACTATACATCAAATTCTCCATCTAAGAAGTTAGTGCAACGATATCGAACACGTAGTCACAGTCGAGACCGCAAGCAATTTGATGATTCTTGTGACACTACCAAGCTCAAACGTCGTGCAAGATCAGAACAGAATTTACAGGCAACTCCGTCAAGGCCTAAACGGTCGTATGAGGCAGGAACAATGAGTTCAATGGCAAAAAAGATCTCTAAGACACCGCCTCAGTCTCCAACTTCAAAGATCATGAAAGGGAAGTCACTTGAGAATTTACATTCCGTACGCAGACAGAGTGATCCGAAAGTAGACCCAAAAAGTCTGTCAGCAAGAAATAGTCCTATGCATTATAAGTCAACCGAAAATATATCAGTTTTGAGTAAGAAAGCGCAGCAAACTTCCGATGATTCAAAGTTTTTGAGAAGACGAAGTAGAAGTGTGTCCGGAGAAGAGAGTTCTATTGATACCTCCTCAGAAATGAACCCAAAACCTTCCAAAACAGGGGTTCCAGAGATAAAAGTTGGTTCTGGGCGTCCAAAATCGCCTAGGACAACCAATGTCCCCCGTGAAACAAGTAGGAGCCCACCGCATATCCGTAGCAAGCCATCATCTCCAACAATGGTCAAAAAAAGACAGGGTAAACGTGCGAGTGATTATGTGAATAATAACGGGAGCAGTGATGACAATTCAACCAAAGATACGTTAGACAAACTAGTGATGCCACCCCCGGCCACGCGTACAGTTATCAAAGCTAAGGCAGTGGTGTATAAACCACTACCAGAAGCAGACTTGAAAGCAAGTCTGGAATGTCTCGAAAAGACAACTCCGCAATGCCTCACCAGCCAAATTGTAAATATGAATGCGACTCATAGGGACTCTGATATTCCAAAGAAACTCAACAATGTAAATGATCTTAATATAGCAGATTCTATTAATGAACTTCCAAAGACAGTCAGCAATATTAGTACAGTACATGGAAACGCAGAAGATGAATTGTCAACACAGCTAGAAACAAAGCAAGGTAAGAGAACTGCTATAAATAGTTGACTGAAAGGTTTGCATTCCAAATGGTTAGTAGCTACATTTTAAAATGTCTGGTACCTGATTGACATTTTAAACTATGTGACTTGGCTGAAATTGTTTGTGGTCTTAAGCACAGTGTCTATTACCAAGGCCTCCTAAGATCTATCCACATTATAAAGTTTGTTATGAGCATGATGATGACTTATGTATTCAAGAGTAATTGTCATAAACAAATTGTTTGCTTTTATAGTTGTTCTTTGCATATTTGCAGTCACCCTGCTTTCCAGAAGGTCCACTTAATGACTCATCCAAAGAATGTTTGATTGCCATTAAATTATATGAAAGATTGTGAATTAATTCCTGTTTAACTTTTTTCAAATTCTGAAAAAATTGTGTTTAATTTAACTCTTTCTTTTGTCTTTTTGTAGATAAAATTAGCCTAAAGGACTTCTCAGATTCTTTAGCAGAAATGAAATCATCATTTTCCAAATGTTTGGAGATGTTTACAATGGTAAATATATAGTTTTTTTTATACTCATGTATTGTATATTATTAAGAAAGAAAATTGTAGCTATAAAAACAATTGTAGTACTGTAAATTGATTGCTGCATCATTTATTAGACATATATTCTATTTTTAATAAACACACTTATTTAAGTGTACATACCCAACTTTTAGTATCATCAGGAAAATAACCAATTTCTTACGGATGATGCAATTTTAACAGTAAATTTATTTTTAATATACACCACTCTCAATTAGATGCCACTCAAGTATAAACATCACAATAAAAGCCTCCAAAAATGTTGTAAGCTCTATAGTATCTAATGGTAATTAGCAAATGAGAAAGTTTAAGAAAACTAATAAATAAAAGTAATGTGTGCATATTTTTAATATGGTATGAGTTTTAGGAGCAGAAAAATCAATTAACCCTATCTTAGTGCATTTAAAACAGTTTTTGCAAACAGTTATTTTTGTTATTGTTTGATTTTTTTTCCCTCTTGCTGACATTTTTCATATTTTTCCCACAGGTTCAAAGTTCTTCAACAACTGTTGATGGGGATATCCGTCAATCGATGATTGACATGTTCTCATCCACCTATCAAACAATGGACCAATCAGCTAAGGAAGCCATCCCTACTCTTCGTACATCCATACTGCGTGAAAAACGTGCAAGCACCTCGCCAACTCCATTTGCCATCGCCAACATTGAGTCTTTCAGACGTTCGAATCGGCATTCCAAACGCAATGGCATCTGTAGTGTTGATGAGCTAGAGTCTGCAGCAACATACTCTTTATTAGACCAGTATTCAACAATGCTTGTAAATATGGTACAAAATAAGATTACAGCAAATGATAAGGAAAAGAACGTAGCCATAGAAAATGGCCATGAAACGGACAGTAGTAGCGCCGATGACTCCACAGAAAAAATCTGTTATGTGTAATAATAATTGCAAAACACGATAGTATTATGATAATAATTGAGATTTGCAGTTTCTTATAAAAAAAAAAAAATTAAATTGGTGATGTTTTTTTGTACCGTCCATTGTCCACTATTCATGTCCACCAATTTCAACCACCAGTGTTTTAGGTGCCAGTGGAGTTGAAAGGTATTGTATAGCAGCATTTTGGTACACGTCTTGTTTTTTTTATATATATTCCTTAATGTTTATATCTTTGCACATTTTCTAAGGTCGATTGATTGTCTTATTAGATTTAGGGTGGAAAAGTTAACATACTTCAACCAGTAAGTGAGACAAAGATAATAATGAGTTGCAGATTGAATGCGAGGGCATGGTATAAAATTTTGAAACCAAGATTTACAGTATTTTGAGTACAACAGTTGTAAATATTTATTATACAATAATGATGATGTATGAAGGGCAGACTGCTTAATTGGCCACGGCATTGATTGATTGCATGATTGATGTATGATAGTATAGTACAGTAAACCAAGAATTAGCAAAAACAATTGCAATATTAACTTTTTGATGGTATTTTGCATCAGAAGATTTATTAGGAATGGTGTTTTGCACTGCCTGATGTGTTATCGTACTGAATGCTCAATACATTCCCAAATACCCGCAAAAAGATCTCACAATTGATTTGGATTGAAATCGAACTCACAACCTCCAGATAACTATTTCAACAGTAGCCACGCAAGGTGTTAAGGCGTCAGGCTAGCTATCTGCATGTCGTAGGTTCGATTCCAACCCGATTCACTTGCGAAATCTTTTTTTGCAAGTATCTAGGAACGTACTGAGCATTTGGTACGATAACACGTCAGGTAGGGAAAAACATCATTCCTAATGTTAACTTTGATATGGGGGAAATCCTTCATCAGTGATATATATTGATGAAAACCATATTGTTGGCATTGGGATTTGCATCCAAGACCCTCCAAATCCCATACCGTTGCTTTATCAACTAATCAATGTTTCCAAGTGTAGTACAGTACTTGAATTTTTCCATTAGAGGCAGGGGTTTTCCCTCAAGGCATTTGTGTTATATGAAATCCACATTATTAACTTTCTTCCATCAGTGTTGCATATACGTGATGAAAATGTTTGTGGAAATTGCATTATCCCTAATAAATGTGTGTAGGCCGTTTGCAACAATCATAATATGCAGAACTTCATATCACCAAATAATACACTGATAGTCTTCCAGTTCATTTTCTTTGTTGTACAGTATTTCATGTTAAAAATAATTAAACCTTTAACGGAGCTAATTGATAGACCACCACACTCAGTTGTTTTGTTATAACTTTAATCGCCTTAAAGTTGATTATATATAATTTCACTTGTTTGTTGTGTGAAGGTGATTCCAAACAGAATTGAGTTGGTGAGGTTGTGGGAAAATCAAAGTGCAGTATGTCGTGATTTTTAATATCGTAATCGTGTATCATGTAAAACTTAAAAATACTGCTCTTTGTTGAGTGTAGGTATTCATACGAATGCAAAAACTGCTTGTTCAAGCTAGGTTACTATTTTATAAAATAAAATCGCTTCCATTTTTTATGAACTACGTATTAACATACACCGACTATTTTATTACTGATAATTGAATATTTAAATATTTTTTCTCTGCCTACCACAAATGTTTTACATATAGTGTAAAAACCGTGACATATATATCTATCCTGAAAAAAATATATATTACCCCAGCACCAACACCTAATGGCTTCCCCATGCCTCCCCATTTGCATCAATCCTCCTTCCTTATTAGTACTACTCAATATTCCACGAACAGGATCCCTGTAGGTCCGAGGACCCTAGACCTGTCGCCAGGGAAGAAGCCATTTATTTATTCTGGGAAAAATTTTTCGGTCAGCAGATCTGAAAATGGCATTTCTCTTCCATTACCTCTATATTAATTATATTTTTATGAGCAAAGTTAGTCATTGTTTGAGGCAGAATTGCTGGTTCATCTTGCGGGAAACGTATAAGCCTTTTTGACTGAATAAACGTCAGTTGTAAGATGAGGTCATGTTTTTGAATCATTTATTTGTCTTGTGTTTTCCCATTTGTCTGTTCATTTTGCGTATGTGTTTATTTATCTTGATTTACCTTGATCGCCACAAGCATTTATTTAGTGAATAGACAAGAGTTTTCATTGTACTGTTGTATGATATACCATGGAGATAGCTCCATGGATATACTGTATACACACCCACACCCTCGCACACCGTATGTTTGATTAGACATTTTATTACTACGGTTTAGTTTCGTCCAACACTTTATTTATTCTTCAGATAAAATTGCCTCAACCCTATGTTGTCGAATCTCTTATTTTTGTTTTTGTTTGCTCAAATAGATGATACAGTGCCCAAATATATAGGAACATGATTTTATAAATCCTATCAAACATAGTTCATCAACGGAAGTTTTTTATTGCATAAACATTAAGTGGGAATCGAACCCGCAATCTCTCGCTATCTCAGCGAGTGCCATACCGTTTATACCACTACTGTAGTCTCATTCCCTTCATACAACTTAAGGGCTCACACAGGAGCCAATTTCTATGCTACGAAATAGACCATAGGTAGCAGCTAGTAGGAATTAATTATAATATTCAAATTCAGTTTTTTTGCTTGTTTAGGCCTAATGTGTTGCGCGACGATTATATTTAGCAACTCTCGTATTGGTATAGTTTTCAGCCAATTAAGTGTTTATTGGAGTTAATTAATATCGTACCGAGGGCCCAGACCTTAAGGGGCCCGAAGAGGTCATTAGTATCTTTTTTTCTGCACCAAATTTGCTGAACAGAGCATTTTAAGGCTGAGCGTGTACAATCAGTGGCGGTGCCAGCGTCTGAAATCTGGGTGATGGGGAGGGGGGTGAAACGAGGGGAAAAGTAAAGTTTTAATGGTTGGGGCATAAGATAATTAACACATCGCTGGTATTGATCGTAATATGCGCACTACTGGACATGCGACTGCCTTGCGTCAACTTCATAAAGTGATTTATGTAATTGGGGGACACCTTTCGCACACCCCATCCCCCAATAGCACCGTTAATGTGTACCTTAAAACGTCACAAAATAAAAAATCACTTCATCACTTATTTTGCCAGCTACTGCCTCTTCGATTCACTTTCTCTAACCCCGCCCACCGCATTTCAATACAGTACTCCTGCTAGATACGCCACTGCTTGAATCTCCGTTAATGTCCAGTGAGTCATTGATCAGTATGTTTGGTATGTTATCTTATTAGAGAGCTTTTTTCTATCGGTCTAATAAGTAGATTCTTTTTCTGAACTAGAGCATAATTCTATATACAAACCGTAATTAAAGGTCTAAATTGAAACTTGCCTATGACGCCTTTTAACATTGCAAACAGTTTCCTGTGTAAAAACAAAAAAAAAACGTAGAGATAATATGATACATATATCATGGAGGTATAAAAATATATTATATACAGTAGGAAAATGATTATATAAACGCTTTCTTCCTTGTACTTAAAATGTCTTCACGACTTGCGTCACAAGATAAATGTAAACAGACATAATATGATACATATATCATGAAGGTATATAAATATATTATATACAGTAGGAAAATGATTATAAACGCTTTCTTCCTTGTAATTAAAATGTCTTCACGACTTGCGTCACAAGATAGATGTAAACAGACTTCTATTTTCCTATCAGAGTGTATGTGTGTTGGCATGTGACGACCATATTTGGCAACTTGGTATCGCTAAGCGTGTATTAATTGCTAGACTCTCCGACAACGCCATAGGAACATAGGAAACGCATACCAAAATAATATAATTTGATCCATAGGCCTGGCCTACCTAAGTTATTATCCTCCAAATGACTGTTCACTTCAGTGTGTGTTTATCTTATGTTTTAGCAGACCACAGAACGATTTACGACTCATAACATTATATAATATATACAATGAATGTGTTAGGATTCCATTTACATGTATTACACACAACATCTAGGAAGATAATTGAATTACACAGACAAACACACTGCAAATACACACTTTTCATGATGTCACGAAATGCCATGCTACATAGATCTAATTTGAATGATAATCTACATTAGGCATATCAGTTATATCCATCCATTCAGATAGGAATATAATAATGGCCCTGGTTCTTAAGAGGCGATGCTCCCACCCCGACCTCTCTTATTTTCCACACAACCAAATTAAACTCCAACCATAAATTTGACCTATACATACAAATATTAAAGCTGGAGGCCCATGGGCCAAATTTAGCACCTTTGTGCAATGTTGTGTTTACGAATTGTCTTCGGCAGGGTTACGAAAAGTCTCGATTATAATCTCAGCCACTCATCCACAAAATCTAAATAACCCTGAGATTGTAATGCGAGTATCGTAATTCATAGGCCTAACTTAAAATTCCAACAAACTGCATTAACTGAATTGTGAATATTGGCCTAATTTTGCCATATCAACTATCTTGTAGGGGCCTACGCATAGGCCTAGTTTATGACAAGTAGGACTATGTTTTTCTTTGTCTGCTGTCGATAGTGGTACAGTATATTAAAATGATGAGATGATGCAAATTTTAGCAATTTTCTAATTTGGAACGCGACGGAGGAGGGGGGTAAGAGACAACTTTTGGGGATTCCCCCACCCTATGCAGCACCCAACATTAGATGTGATAATGTAGGTGGATAATTAAAGCTCTTGGATTACAATTATAATTAAGAAAATTAATTGTCACAATGGCGCCAAAATAAATTAGCATCTGTTTGAAGTATGTGATGAGAACTTTACACATGCTGTCGTAGGCCTGCCTTATATTTCAAGGGCGATGACAGGGGCATACCTCACGGAAAACTATCGCTCCCGTTTGTTTTCGTCTTAACAGTTGCTTGTATGCTCACCTTACTAATTACACTTACTTCGAATCAGGGACAAAGGTCAACGATCAATTAACCTTAATTTTGCATAGCGTTTCGGATATATACTTAGGCATATTATTGTTTTATTTATTTTTTAAATTATTATTTGTATCATCTGTAAGTCGAGTTGCGGATTGTCGCACCTTTTTACGTCCGACATACGCTCATAATTTTCTGTTTTTTTAATGTTTATGTGACTGTATCATGATTGTTATGATGATGTTAAAAGGTATTGGTATGTAGGCCGGTCAATAATATTAATGTATCAGTATTATTTCGATATTCAATTTAGAAACATTAAAATGGGATTTGAATACAGAACATTTTCATCATCGCCGCTTTGTATGTGTTCATATAGGCCTAACGAGACAATATTATTGAAATAATAAATATTAATAATCGATAATAATATAACTATAACATTTAATAAGTAACGTATAATAAAATAATTATAATATGATTATTATTATTATTATTGTTATTATTATTATTATTATTATAAATATTTTTATAAGAAGGAAGAGAAGACGACGGTGACAGAGGCGACAGTATTGGTAGCGACGGCGACTATGACGACAACAATAATAATGATATATGATAAAATTGATGATTTAATAATAAAGAACATCAAAATTAATTTCACATTTTATATATTTTATTAAATATTTTAAACATACAGTAGGCAATGAGGTTAAAACAATATACAAATTGATACATTTACTATCTTTAATACAACATTAAATTATACGATTTGGCCTATAGACCATTAATTATTTACAAAGATGCTACCGTATATCCAGTAGATGAATCAAAAGAAAAATCCATGCTTAAATACAATAAACATAACACTATAACAACATTCAATTATACGATTTGGAATATAAGTTTTAACAATTGATCATTACATAGGTGTTCGATGAATCAAAGAAAAAGGGCATGCTTAATACCATAATTGGTGTGTAGCGTTATGTATTTACATTGCCCGTCAATGGCGCGGTTCGAAAATCTCGATAATTATAAGCTCAACGGAGTACCTTTGTACGAAACAAACCGTAGCCTTTCCCCTCCCCGACGCTCGTAACCATTGTGACACCTTACAATGTCAGGACATAGTTTAGTTTGAATGCATGTGGCTTAATGGAATCATGGTCCCTGTTCATCTCGAGAATTAATCGTACTTCTCCGTCGTGCGAATTAAATTCGAAGTTATTCTGTCCTTGTCTCATTGGACTGTCTTTCATCCGATGTTTATTCGTGTTGTCGCACATCGGCTGTTTGCCGTCTATTATCATCTCCTTACGGTAGCCCTTCAGCTGGTAGATCTTAATTCCCATCTGCTGAGGGTCTACTAAGCATCTGTAATAGACGAAAGCCATAATAATATCAATCTTTTAAAATATTGTGTTTCTGAATATAATGGCAATAATGATGATGATGAGGAGGATGAAAGTTATTAACTATGCAAAAATTTGATATTCTAACATTTAAATAAATTTAATAGTAATATTTATTAATGTGATATCGTCATTCGCTGAAACATTCTTTACAACGAACTGAATATGATCGTTGATTCATGATGCATAGGTGACCTGCGTTATGACAGATACGCTACTGACAAAGAGAATGCATTAACAAAATTTGATTACGTAACTAATATAAATGATACAGCAAGTTATGGCAATGAAGTTGATTTTAGTCGCCAAGAAAACATAGGCCTAATACATATTCTCTCCACTCCATCTCAACTCAATACCAAGTCGTCGTTGATTTTGTTTTTGTAGGAGCTTCATGATGATATATTAGTAAGCATTCAAAGAATTTCAGGCCCACTAATTGGTAAAATTGAAACTTACTTGAAATCGTCGCCAGTCTTTCCGTACTTGAATCTAACCTCGATTGACCCTCTAGGATTCGTCCACAAGATGTAGCCCCTATCGGCACATAGCTCTACGTGATCACATGGGTTAAATCCGCTGTGAAAGATACGATTTTACCCATAAATTGTGTTTAATTATGTAAATATTATAATATTAATTATTATAATATTTACATAATTATATTAATGATAATTTATTAATGAAAGTTAAAATAAATTACTAGGATGATGATCATAATCATAAATACAGTACCTAATTATTATTTTATGACAATTATAATGATAATGCTTATTATTATTAATAATAATGATAATAACGTTTTTGATAAATTATTTTAAAGAAATATATAATTTTATTATTGCAAATATTCAGGATACAGTAAAAAGCATGAGAGCTAAAACCAATATATATTTATATTTATAATTTATAATATCAATTACAAATTAAAATCAAAAAGGCACATGAAACAAAATGAAGCAAATCATTACACCTATAAAAAGTAAAATTATAAAATTGTTATAATTATATGTCCATTTAACCACCATTTAAACATTTTATTGCCGAAATCGATCATTATTATTATTAATTCAATTATGAGCTGAGCATGATTTAATTATACTGTATATTTTAATGTTCAATAAATGATCATTGGTCAACAACAAAAAAATAACGCTTATGATTACCCAAGTTGAATAATAATAGCAATAAAATAACAACATGACAATAGTACAGTAGTACCAATAATAACGATTACGTTTATATAATTATAGTTTGATGCTGATGAATATGGCTAGTTGATATTTATTGAAGTTTATGCTAGTGTTCTATTTATGAACACATCCATGGGCGCAAAATTACTGTTGACGTACGTGAATGACAACTGTTGCGTAACAGTTGTTTGTGTCAACTGCATGATGATGTTCTGGTTCTGGTGGGTAAAACCGATCTCCTAAGGACTCTAAAAATGAAGGATTATAACAGGAGGGGTAGAAATAGGGTGGAATGACAGGAAAGGTCCACACCGCAGTTTAAGATGCCTACTACACCGAAACATTATAAAGTCTATCTGTGGGAACCAATGATTTTACATCTATTTATTGTTGCGGGAGTCGTAATTTTTGGTACTCTTTATAAAGAGGATAAGTAGAGTCAGGTGATATAAACTAATTTTTCTGCGTAACTAAAGCATTGTACAATATGTCGGTAAGTTTCATACACACTCTGATTATGATTGCATGCTTGACTATCCTAGCTAAAAGGTGTATATTGATATCTTAAATTGCCATGGCAAAAAGGTGTATCTTGATATCTTAAATTGACTTGGCAAAGACACTGTGTATAATCAAAAGGTAAGAATACTTATAAAAAAGATGTATATTAGTTTGATCAATTAAAAGAATTCAGTTTACGTAGAAAAAGAAAGTACTTTCGTAACAATGGCACTCGTCATGGCTATGCGTTCACTTAGAAATCGATGGAACTATCTAGTACTAAAGTAAAAATATCTAATTTATTTATCTATTTAATGTATAAAAACAACATATACAAAACGGTAACTCAAATGCTTGCATTACAAAAATATAAAATATAAACAAGAGTCACTAAACAGCACAATATAAGACAAACTGAAAACTGACAAATAAAATACGGATATACATAACAATAACAATTATTATATATTGAGAGCAAATTAATGATTAGAAAAGTAAGATATTAAATGGATACAAAATATACTATATAACATTACACAAGGATAAAACTTCATACAGGTATTATTTAATCGTTCCACTGAAGATGCGCTTCTTCTTAAAAATGATAGATTGTATTCCCATTTGGAACATGTGAGCAAGGGCCACTCGGTGCGACTGATGTATTTTGATTTTTCGTCAGCTTTCAACACCTTTCAACCACATATTTTGGCCACTAAACTCATTAATATGAATGTTCCACCATATCTTATTACTTTTATTTTAAACTATTTGATAAATCGACCACAGTATGTAAGAACTGGTAATATTATTTCTGACACCCTATATTGCAGTACTGGTGCCCCGCAAGGCACCGTACTTGCTCCGTTTCTATTCACTATTTACACTGCTGACTTTAGATCAGCTAATGAATGTCCAACAATTAAATATGCTGATGATACGGTAATCTTGGGTCTAAGTAGGAAGGACGACCTGTCTTTGTATATTTCAGAAATTCAAAGGTTTGTGTCTTATTGTAAAGATAACTTTCTTGAAATTAATACAGAGAAAACGAAAGAAATGGTGATTGAACAAGTTACATCGTATAAATATCTGGGGGTAATCTATGATAACCAACTGTCGTGGGGAATTTTCTGTGACCATTTAGTTAAGAAACTTAATGTGAGAATGTTTTGCTTTAGGAAACTTAATTCTTTTCAGGTCAGGAAGGAGATATTGCTGTCATTTTATAATTCTATTATTCTCGGATTACTTTGTTACTGCTTAGTTTGTTGGGGTGGGAATATTTCACAAGGTGATAGGGACAGATTACAGAAGTTTGTTAACAGGTTTGGGAAGATTATCGGTTCGGAACTGCAAAGATGTGTATAAGAGACAGGCTTTCGTACTAAAAGAGCACTGCTACAGCGCCGCCAGACGGTCGGTATTGCTAGTTGCGTTATACAACGCAGCGGTAGACTGAGGGTACCGGCTGCTAACACGAACCGTTATTCTAACTCATTCATTGCGAGGGGAATTTACCTATTTAATAGTAGATATGTAAGATAGTTATTATTTATTCCTGCTTAATTTATTGAAAGAGCGATGTAATTTCCAAGGATTTGGATTAATAAAGTGATGTCTATGTCTATGTCAATGTCTATTTAAAAGGATTTAATTAATTATAAAAATCAGATATTTCAATTGCATATATAAAAATAAAATATATAAATTCAAACTTATCTATTGTGTAGGCCTATATATTATACGTGCGTTATCCGTTCTTAAAAGCTGATGAATGGAATTGGGTCTACAACCAGATCTGTTAGTGGATGTAAATAAATTAATTAATTCGAGTCTAGTTGTGCTTAAATTACAATTTAATTATGATTGTGCCTAAATGTTAACGATTAATGATGATTACCTGGTTCTTTAATTGATAGAGTAACTGTTCTAATCAAATGCTGTTAATCTGTGCAATTCAGCACAGCTAGGCCTATTCAATTCAAATTTTATTTCGGATATCCATTTAAAATAATAAAGAACACGAATACTGTACAAAGTTGTATATAGGTCTATTACCTGTGGCTCAACACTGTTCATTAAAAAGCCCCTTTGCACTGTATACTTTCGTGATCGTTCCCGGATCTTCTGCTAAATTCTTGGAATTATTAAATTACTATCTATTTGGTCTTTTTTTTCTATGCTTATATTGTTTTAAAATAACATGAGATTATGAGAGACACAACCAAATAAGAATCAGATAAATGAATGAATTCAAGCGAGGTACTGCACCAGGGAAAAAAAAAAAAAAAAAAAAAAAAAAAAAAAACCTAGAAAATCCTACCTTTCATGGGCCAGAAATCGACTGGCAGATTTCATCAAACGAATTGCGGGCTCATCTCCTGCCCGCAATGTTAATACAGTATCTTTATCCCAAAAAGTATCAAGAAATCGGAAGTCGATAAAAAACTTGGGGTTAATCGGAGGCACGAAAAGTCGACTCATCTCTGTTGAGATACCGGGTATCTCTGGATTTAGGTCTGTTTGAAACTGGCAGTGTAAGCCAGTTGTATCTGTTACCTCAGATTTTAGAAGTCTGGTATGTGATGTCAAAGTTTTGGATATTAGTCCTGGACACAACAAATAAACACTTGTGTTCTAAAGACGGCTTAATAATAGACCTAAACACGTCAAATACTGTATCACTAACGGAAAACAAGAAATTTCTTTTAAATATGTCCTATGATATAGTCCTTACAATCGCTTCGGACTTGCAAAAATCTGCTTTTGAAAACATTTGACAGTTGAACCTTGTCTTTATTTGCCACTGGCCGTCTGAAAACCTCAGATGACGATCTACTTATCGTGCACACAAAAGAGCAGGGGGAGGGAAGATACTAAGGGTGATAGCTGTAAAGCACGTGACTTCTGTATCAACTTTGACCAGCGCGTGGACAGTGGAGCTAAAATACCAATAGCAACGCAATGTGTATCAAAGAACTATTTCATGTGACAGTTAATTTAAGTGGGATATAATAATATAAGTATAAGAATATTGTTTCAATAGGTCTTATTATAGAGGTCAATTTCGAATTAGCAAATTCTATTATTTGAAATGCTCATTTAAAATGATAAAGGAATCAACTTCTAATGAGACGACACAGATTGTACCGATTCAGTTTTCACTGTAGTATTCTCTTACTTTTTGAAAACAGGAACTGTAATAGACTGAGGCCTATGTGTTTCATATTTGGCGGGAGAAATAATTTTCGGTCTATAATTCTAATAATGTGTGCCGTATTGGGTAGGCCTACCGTGTGTGATTCCACTGCCTGAATTGTTATGTTTTGGATCGATTGTTCATGTTTATTCATGGGTATTTTTGGATCTTCTCCTTCATGGCAGTGGCGTATCTAGAAGTCTTGAAGTAAGGATGTTCATGGGGGTGGGGGCGCGAAGGTGAAGTGGGGGCTTCATGATCAGTTGATGGGTACTAACTCGCAAAATAAGGTGATTTTAGGTGATTATTAACTTCTTGACCATGATTTTTGGAGGGGAAATTGGGGGGCGCTAGTGATTTTGGAGTAGAGGGGAGTGCAAACCCCCCCCCCCCCCCAGCCCCGTGCTTTTGATTTAATAAAAATTATAGTAGAAATTCGAGTTAATAAAGAGAATCAATTTAAAAAGGTTTTTGGTTGTGAAATACTGTAAAGAAGCTCGTCGAATTGAACCTTTTTTCGTTAAAGATGAGTCTGGTTTGGCAGACCATGTACAGACAAAATTCTAATGACCTTCTGTTAAAAAGCATCACTCCCGCCGAATGATTTCTACCAATAAGCGTAATTTCCGATTGCTTCACGGGAACGAATCAAAATCCTTGTACATTAATCGGCAATTTATGTATAATTTGTGTTGATAACTGGCTTCGAGGATGACAGCATGTAAAGAGGGAGCCATGATGTTGAATCATAAACACACAACTTGTTTAGCAACCCTACGCGTATATTGACGTTATCTAGTAGGCCTATTAATCTGGTGCCTGAATGCTTAAAAGGAAGGGACTAATGGAAAAGGCTAACTTCTACAATAGTCC